CTATCCCTTTAAGAAGATTATTATATGTAATTTCATAATTATGTACTGACAAGCATTTATGGTAAACTAAAATATATGTCAGTGTCCTTTCTATTGAAACTTGTTTGTCATGTATTTATATATTTATGTAATTACACATTTGTAATCAAGTTGCAATTAAGTCTATTGAAAATATATTCAATTTAAATGTAAGTGTGCATTCAATGCAATTAAGCACACTTCTTTTTAGCTTGGGTTGTTTTAAATGAAGGTGTGCTTAACTTACTGATGCAACTGGGGTTACATAAGATAAAAAAGTTAAGTATATGATGTATATACTTGTATCATATATCCTCAAGTATATTATGTTTCAGATATATGTCTCCTTGCGCAAAATACACAGCTATCCCTGCTGCACAAGCTCCACTCTCTGTTTAAAACTTATATTTACGAATCTGTAAGTATTCTCCAGCCAGATTCCTCTCTAAGCTATAATGATTTGCTGCAGTGGCCGGGCTTGAACATATTTTTAGGGTTGTCTAACCAGCACTTGAGCGAGCCCAAGCACTGCTCATTCTAATTTGTGGTGTAACGGGCATGAGCAGGGCTTTTTCAATTAAACACAGATGTTCAGTAGCAGTGGGAGGGGAACGCTTAATCTCTCTCTTCTTTCTCTGGGTGGGCCAGACCAACAACCCCAACTTCTTTAATCAGAAAAGGTTGTTGCTGCTATAAAAAGAAACAGGTGGAGCTCTGGTTCCTCCATGTACTTATACTGAGTGGAGAGAGACAACCCAATGCTTTCTACAAAAATGAATGGGTGCTAACTCTACACTAGTGCCCACAACATGCTGACCTTCTGCCACTGAACTCTCTGCATACATCTGCTGTGGTTAAGTGTGTAAACTTGAGTGTGTGAGTGAGTGTGTGTGTGTGTGTGTGTGTGTGTGCAAACACATGGGTGGAGTATGAACACGCCCTGTGGTAACTTTAGTCTTTCCCTGGTTCTTTTAAAACAACCTGTGGGAGTGTCTGGAGAATCACTGACTTCATGTGAAAGCAGCAGAATGTAGTGTTATTAAAGAAAATACAAGAACGACAACATGACTCCATCTGACTACATGACAAACAGGATCAAAGCTCTTATGCAATGATATTGTGCTGCTGCCATCATAGTTGTTTAAATATACTTGTACACACACACGACACACAAATGTTGGGTTCCCATGTTTAATGGGGACATTCAATAGACATAATGGTTTTTATACTGTACAAACGGTATTTTCTATCCCCTTACCCTAAACCTACCCCTAAAAATGAATTTTTAGATTTTCAAAAAACCTCATACTGTATGATTTATAAGCTGTTTTCCTCATGGGGACCAAAAATTTTTTCCCACAATGTAGGAAATAGGTACACACACACACACACACACACACACACACAGTTTACCAGTACTTAGCTATCTGTGGGGGCTCTGCATAGGTGTAATGGTTTTCATACTGTACAAACTGTATATTCTATCGCCCTACACCTAAACCTACCCCTTACAGAAAACTTTCTGCATTTTTACAAAAAAAAAACTTCCCTGGTTCTTTTAAAACAACCTGTGGGAGTGTCTGGAGAATCACTGACTTCATGTGAAAGCAGCAGAATGTAGTGTTATTAAAGAAAATACAAGAACGACAACATGACTCCATCTGACTACATGACAAACAGGATCAAAGCTCTTATGCAATGATATTGTGCTGCTGCCATCATAGTTGTTTAAATATACTTGTACACACACACAACACACAAATGTTGGGTTCCCATGTTTAATGGGGACATTCAATAGACATAATGGTTTTTATACTGTACAAACGGTATTTTCTATCCCCTTACCCTAAACCTACCCCTAAAAATGCATTTTTAGATTTTCAAAAAACCTCATACTGTATGATTTATAAGCTGTTTTCCTCATGGGGACCAAAAAATGTTTCCCACAATGTAGGAAATAGGTACACACACACACACACACACACACACACAGTTTACCAGTACTTATTTTTATTCCAGTTTTACAAATGAAGACATCCCCAAAGGGAGGTTTTTGGTGATTTTGTCAGGTTTAGCTCACTTTTGGGTACAAATTTGTCCCCAAAATATGGTTAAGTAGGTACACACACACACACACACAGTGATTTAGTGGCCCTCTCAGAGCCCAGCTTAGACCCTGTTTCCTATTTCTATCTTTCGAGGAGACATGCTCCTCTATTTTAAGAGTAATTGTTTCTCAAAGTTCACAGTGCAAAGGCTTCTTTGACTTAACAAACTATTATAACATTTATATTTTGGCCAATCATTTAGTTTGTTGTTATTTGTTTATTGTTTCAGTTATTAGAAAGAAAGAAAGAAAGAAAGAAAGAAAGAAAATTACATAGTGCTGCTTTAAATAACAAGGTTGGATAATTGGAACTAAAGTAGTTAACATTTTAAATCTGAACCTATTTGAGGGATGAAGCAGCTGTTGGTACCATTCTTAAAACTGATTATTATTTTTATAATTGAACTTAATATTAATATTTATACTTAATATATTAGAATTTCCAAGAAACCAACTTTGTGATCAATGGTTTAGCCTTCAGCCACCTTTAGTTTGTGAGTGGCAATCACTTACTGATATGAAAGGTTCCTGGTGCTTGATTCCCCTCAAACTGCAGCATTAGGAGGTTGCTGGTTTGACTGTCATGGCGAAGCCATAAAGCTACACCCAAAATCACACCACCAGCCAGCTAAAAATAAGAGAAAAATAAACAGAATGTTTACTAACACTTTTCAGCATAGATTCGCCATTTAAATACTTTTACTGATTAAAAGAGCTGGAATTTAAAATCCCTCAACAGATGTCATCGCCCAGAAATGTTTGTTTCAATTCTTTTTCCTGAGGCCATTCCAGAGGTCATTTCTTCCTGCATTTGGGGAAGAAACTTCTGACAGGTTTAGTGTTATTCACGCACAAAAAAGGGTGTGGGGTCCAATTCAGCTCTGAGAGTCAGTCCTCTGTGATACCTTTTGTTTGTTTATTTTTTTGTAATTCGCAGAGCAGGAAGCGGCAGCTTAAGTGACAGAATTGTGGAAGCCAGGCCGATATATTTTTGTGTTGGCAGCGTGTAAAGTACAATGACGGGAAACAATACGTATCTCAGGGGGTTGGGATTGGCGCTGTATATGATATCACACAACATCATTCTCATGTAAGTTAAAGGTCTTGAATAAAAACACAAATTTAAATTTGTAGGCTTTTATTAAAACGAGTCTGAAAAAATGACACGACTTTTCTTTTTAGGACTCTGAATTGGTGTAAACATTATTTATTTTCAGTAATGAATGTTATTCCATAATGTTTGTCTTGCTGCTAAATGCTAATTAGACATTCCTCAAAACTCAGTTTTACTCTGTGATGTCATTGTTTGAACATCATGTGATGTTTTCTGCAGAGTGTAAAACATTTTATAAAGTGATTACAGCAGAATGACTGCTCAAGCTAAAAAAAAAAAGTATTTAATATGAATAAATATCACATTTTACTAAATTTACTCCAACTTTTAAACAACTTGTCCACATGTGATTTTCTCTCTCTGTTCTTTTATGGTGTATTTATGTCATGGTGTCCCTACAGCACATGGACATAATTATTGAAAGTGTAAAAATACAGCAAAGCCGCAGCTAACCCTCACTCTACAGGAGGCTCTGTGGAGCCTGAGACACTTTTTTTTTCTTCATGTCTAGGAATACATTTGACAAGAAAAACACTGACTATACCATTTAGCCATACAAAAGAAACTTATTGTATGCTTCACAAAATATTTTGCACAGAAACCTCCAATTATCTCTGACATGACATGCTTTTATTCCAGTTCATGTATAGACTGTGTTCTAAATATCCTTAAATTCTAGCTTAACAACATAAACAGTGTAAAAAAAAAAAAAAACTTTGAAAGAATGGTGAGAAAAAATCTGGGGGAAAGCACATCTAATCACTTCAAATAGGACGATTGTGTACAGAGTCAATAGACTCACAAGAAGAACTTTCAGAATGACACTTACTGTTTTCTGCTCTGAAGACTTCGTTGAATAAAATCAGGACATTGGTATTCATTTAACTTTTCAGAGGTAGTACAATAAACTAGTAGTACAAGAAACAATAATTAACTTAAAATAATACTGGTAAACGAACAAACTCACCCAGAAAATGAAGTTTAAGAAGAAGAGCATATATTTGATGCACTGAGAGCAGCCGGTAACAGCCATGGCTTGATATCGTCGAAGCTGCTGAAATGATGCTGGTCTGGAGGAAGATGAGTGAGTCTCAGTTTCACAGATGGATATGAGGCGATTTGCAGGTAGTCCGGATCCACTCTGAGAGACTACCCACGACCTCATGTGTTTATATAAACGCACTGAGCCAGAAAAAGAGAGGGAGAGAGATGTCCGTGTCCCGTGTCAAGCTCTGCCCCACATTTACATATGTAAAACTTTGTTTTAATTGATTAAACGGCAATGCATAACGAATCTAAATTCACATCAATCATTTGTTTTGTCTGAAATTCATGTTATATTATCATTTATGCTGTATTTTCTATATTTTTTATAGTTTATAATATATGCTATTCTTCCAGAAAGAAACGGGTTTTGATGTTGTTTTGAATTTTTAACACTTATTTCTAAAAACAGTAGAAGTGAATTAATAAAGTAACTTCCTTTACAACAATTAGGCTAAAATGTTTCTAAGAATGTGTTGATGTGTTGACTCAAAATAGCTACGTTTTCAGCGCATATTTTGAATAACAAAAACCAGATTTCAACTGTTTTTCTTAACAAGTGATAGTTCCAAATACTGCTGTAGAACATACAAAAGTGGTTTCTGCCTTAAGTAGGCTATGTAAAATTGCATATATGTATGTAATATTTTGTTAACAAAATAAGAAGATTCATTAAAAATAGAGGTTAAAAGTAGAGGAAACTCGATTTCGTGTCGTTATAACTACAGCTCCCATGATGCATCGCGTGGGTCAAGCTAGTTGCTAGCTGCTAGCTGCTAAGCAAACGGTGGAGCAGGCAGGCGCAAGCAATGTTTATTTGGCAACTATAGTTCAGAATCTTTGAAAATCATGAGTTCTTCAGACGAAACGTGTAAAGGCACGAAACGACCCGCATCTCCAGATAAAGTATGTGGTTTCCATCATCATGCATTTTTTAATTTTATTTACTACAGCTGATCTGATATTTTGGTGAACCAGCAGTATTAGCAGATTGTTAGCAATATGTTGTAACTATTTTTTAAATGTTATTAGTGTGACGAAGATTTGATATATGCATGTTATTAGTGTAATAACTGCCTGTTTGCTGCTGTATTGCGTTTTCTGCAATAATAATTTAGCATAATAACTACTGTAACGTTACCAGATAATTCGGTTCCAGGTTGTCTGTTAAGCTTTTTTCTGCATTCTTAGATAAACGTAATTTAAATTTTAAGTGGTGTGCTAATATATGTGCTTATATATATATATATATATAGAAAAAATGTAAGTGTATATGCTTTTCTGTAACACCCTAATGGCTCATCTGAATCTGTTTTGACCTGTTATGCAGACAGGAGCCACACAATGGAGATCGGCAGATTTAGGGACAGACGAAAGGAAGCAAAAGTTTTTGAAGCTGATGGGAGCAGGAAAGGTACATTGCTTTCTGTTAAGTCATTTCTTTGTTTCTGACAATTATGTAATTTGAACGTAACCACTATCGCCCATTCTTGCTTCAATTGTTTTCATGCACTGGCAGAAAGAGCACACTGGACGCCTTGTTATTGGGGATCACAAGTCAACGTCCCATTTCCGCAGCGGTGAGTCTCTAGGGCGGAAGTGAAGGGTTGCTGGATTTGAATGCTTGACAGTTCAGAAAGTGATTGCAACCTCCTATTGTGTTGGATGAGACTCTTCCAAATCCCCGGTTGTGTGGAGACAGCGACCATCAGATGACATCCTGTACGCCACATATCCTTTTCCCTACAGCGATCACTGGTCAAAGAGTACATGCTCTGACCTTTAAAGCAACCACTGGTAATGTCCTGTCGTTTATTGTGCACATAGGACCAGGTTACAATGCATTCTGCACTTGTAAAATATAAAACAACTACCTTAATCTAGTTTCATACTGATATACAACCATCAGGGAGACATTTTATTGTTATGGGGTAATTTGAATGTCTATCAATGCTATATTAACAACAACATTGGGAATATGGGAAAATGCTGATGGCCTTTAACTCTCTGTATTGAAGAGGGTATATTGTGTGTCTGTAGGGGCAGAGGATCAGAAGATTAACACAGAGCTCGAGCACCAGTATCAGCAGGGTCTGGATGGGAAGTTATCAGGAAGGAACAGGAGACACTGTGGACTGGGCTTTAGTGAGGTCAGAGCTCTTTTTGATAAGCTATGGGTTGACATAATGTTGATATATCGAGACTAACATACTGTGAATTACTCCTGATAAGCTTTGACTGAGATATACTGTGTGTGAACACACGTGATCATCTGTTGTTGATTTGTTGTGAACTGCTGCGCTTCCTCTTCAAGCCCGATCCACCTGCTGAGAGTGCGAGCGCCGCTGTGCCCGAGAAGTCAGACAGTTCAGAAAAGGCCCCTGAACCACCATCAGAACCACACAAGGACGAGAAAACACCTTCATCCAACTCAGAGCTCAAGAAACAGGAACTGCACACAGACTCAAAGGAGGACAAGAAAAATACTTTTAAAATGGCATTTGTAAAATCCACATAAATGGCATTGTTTTTGTTGTAATTTCTTGATCTCCTAAAATGTTCCAGTGAGGTATTGAGAGAGAGAGCACATTTTTATTTCCATTAAAATTGAAAAATTGTGGGTTTCAATTTTAAATGTAATTATGTCTGTTGTCAAGTCATTCGGACTTGCCTGGTCTTGTTGAGAATGGTTTATTCTCTACTAATTAAAGGCATAGTTCATATAAGAAATGAAGATCCGGTCTCAGTCTACTCAGCGCTTATGATTTCATATACACACGAGGATGAGTAGATGAAATCTTTATAGAATTGTCAAGAAAGTGAGGTACAGAAATTTGCAGACAAAATGTCAACTGTGTGTATTAAAAGGTGTAGGAAAATATCAATAAAGAGTAAAAATTCTGTGATTGTGATCATAAAAAGCTTTAAAACTTTCCATATATGCATTTTTGTGTCCCCCCCCCCTTTATGAAAAAGATTTCATAAAGAAAAAATACAAATGAAAAGCAGTCAGTTATACTAGGAAACATGCACATGTCTACAAACAGATATGAAAAGACAATATGCAAATTTAATAATGGTATATCTGGAACCTTTATGTTTTAATAAGAAGGAAACAACTTTATATGTAATAACTTTGTGCAAACAAACTTTATTTAGAGCTTGAGCTCTATTGTCTGTCAATGTATGAAAATTGTGAATTTTTAATGATCAATCTAATATATGAAGATTTCAGTTTTGCTGAAATGAAATGCAATGTACTCCACAATCTAAATAAAATTTAATATTTTTATAAATAATACACAACACTGCAAAAGAATAAGTACCTTAAGTCACGATTACATGGTGATAAAAATGTCATGCAAAATTAAAAAATTGTCAGAATTGTAAAACTGAAGTTTAACTTTCAAAGTGCTCACCAGTAAAATTAATAAAAAACAATCTCACATATAAAAAGTTCTGAACAACAGAGAACCTGAATGATTGAATGTGATTTATAAATACGTATTAGGTACAAAAAACACACAAAACAATTGATCTTTGGGTTCCCAAGAAAGCTTCTCAACACGTTTTAGCACTCAGACATGGCTTTGGCTGCAAAACAAAACATTGAAAATTTCCATAAATATCAGGATGACATTGTGTATGATAAAATACTATATTATAATGTTCCCAGAGATGCTGGATAATGTCTCACCGGTGATCTGCTTCCTCTTTATGGAGGCCTCTGTGGCGAGAGCTCGATGAACGCTCATGATCCTCTCCTGCTGCTGCAGCTCTTCATCCAGCTCACTGAAATTTGTCTGCTCGGCATCCATAGACTTCACACTGAAATGCCACAACAGAAGACAACATCTTAGTACATCATCCATTTACATCTGCTTAAGTCTTATTTTCCCACCATACCTCGACTTAGACAGTAGGCTTTTTATCTTTGCTACGGTGCGAGAACGAGTCTCCTTCTCTTTTGGACTCAGGTCTTCATCTAACGCCACATCCATGAGTCTCTCTGGGATGGACACCTTCTGTGGCGTACACAGCTGACAACAGAGGAATCCCACAATACACAGAGTTTATCTCAAATAATACAGACTTAATAGAATGAACTATACCTTAAAGGGTTAGTTCACCCAAAAATGAAAATTCTGTCATTAATTACTCACCCTCGTGTTGTTCGAAACCCGTAAGACCTTCGTTCATCTTCGGAACACAATTTAAGATATTGTGGATGAAAACCGGGAGGCTTGTGACTGTCCCATTCACTGCCTAGTAAATGACACTGTCAAGTAGGGGTGGGAATCGCAGGGTACCTCACGATACGATACGAATAGTTTATCTCAAATAATACAGACTTATTAGAATGAACTATACCTTAAAGGGTTAGTTCACCCAAAAATGAAAATTCTGCAATTAATTACTCACCCTCGTGTTGTTCGAAACCCGTAAGACCTTCGTTCATCTTCGGAACACAATTTAAGATATTGTTTATGAAATATGAGGGCTCTTTGACCCTCCCATAGACAGCCAGGTAACTTTACAGTTGAACCACTGATGCCACACGGACTACTTTGTTGATCATCTTGGTACTTTTCTGGACCTTGAACGTGGTAGTTACCTTGCTGTCTATGGGAGGGTCAAAGAGCCCTCATATTTCATAAAAAATATCCTAAATTGTGTTCCGAAGATGAACGAAGGTCTTACGGGTTTCGAACAACACGAGGGTGAGTAATTAATGACAGAGCTACAGAGCTCTGCAATTAAACATATCTTTAATGTGGTTTTTACTAGTAAAAATTGAAGTATAGAGCTCTGTAAATGTATTTTTACTAGTAATAATTAAATTAGAGAGCTCTCTAATCGGAATTGTTACTAGTAAAAATTAGGTCGTGGTACATGTTTTTGTGGTGAACTCTACTGATTTGTATAAAGTAAATGTAAGAAGAAGTTTTATATTTATAGAACTTGAAGTTGAACTCTTAACTGGACTGCAACAACGTGGCTTTATTTAATTATCCATACATTACATGACTGATATTTACATGCATTTTTAGTCTGCTATGCTGTTATAGATTTACATTTTAAGCTATCAGAATTTCATCTTACATTTTGGTCATAAATACCAGCAACTGCACCAAATTTTATATTTTTGCTTAGTTTGGGCCTCTTGAGGAAATTTTTTCCCCTCGAGTATGAGCTCCATATTCTCCTATATAATACGGCCATGAAAGTCATAACAAATATGATACTTGCACAAACGTTTTTCATATTTTATCTAAAGGTTCAATGAACTTTTAAAAAGGTTAAAAATCTTTTTTCCCTTTTTGAATATTATTTCATACTTCAGGGTTACAACCTAACTGGCTAGGATTGAATCAGGTGATTTTGGTTTGTCAGCAAATGTCACTAAAATTTGACTATACCTCCCGTGTAAGATCAAACTCAAAGTTCACAGGCTCCAGCTCCTGTGCGTTCATTGGCCGGGCCTCAACAGTCAGCCATTCATCTGATCCCAGCCGCTGTGATTCGTCATACAAGGCCTGTTTTGGTCGCTGCAAATCAATGACTTTTTCCCATCCCTACTAGGGCGAAGACAACAATATACAGCATTTATGCAACACACACTCCAATTCCTCTGGAAACGAGCCTTGATCCTGGATTTAAAACCTCATGGGTCAGACACAAAATATCTTTGTCATATCACAAAGATGACTAATCTTTACTTAAGTAACTAAGTCAGCTGTTTTTATGCTTTTGTAGTTTCTGCTGCACTTAAAGAAATAGTTCACCCAAAAAAATGAACATTTTCTCCAAATTTACTCACCCTCAGGTCATCCAAGACGTAGTTCATTTGGAGAACCTTAGCATAACATCACTTGCTCAGCAATGGGTCCTCTGCAGTGAATGGGTGCCGTCAGAATGAGAGTCCAACCAGCTGATAAAAACATCACAATAATTCACTAGTAATCCACATGACTATAATCCATTATCTTCTACAATAAACAAATGATGCATTTGTTTATTACAAACATGCAGCTTTTCGCTTCACAAGACATTAACTGATGAAGTCGTGTCAATCGTGTGGCTTACTTGTGGATTATGGAGATGTTTTTATGAGCTGTTTGGACTCTCATTCTGACGGCACCCATTCACCCATTCAGGTTCAATTTATGAGTAAGTGAAGCAATAGATATAACAGAAACATACTCATCTACATCTTGGATGGCCTGAGGGTGAGTAGGTTTTGAGCAAATTTTCATTTTTGGGTGAACTGCTTCTTTAAATTTAAGCCTGGTTTTGTTGACAAATTGGTGAAGAGACAGAAAAAAGGAGAAAAAATACAGGCATTAGGCAATTGTGTCACTATTACAAATCACACCCATCACCAAATTACAACATGCTATAGAATTTTGTAGTTGAACACATCTAACCATGCAAAACAGCTTACAATCAGCTTTAACAGTTAAAGAACCATGCAAACCCATCCATTCATTCCCCCACTCATAGGCATGTATTACATACATCTACAAGTACAGTCACACTGCAATGAAAAAAGGTATTTAGAAAATTCTATTTATTTGTGCCTTTAGTGCAAACCTCAACATTAGAAAATGAAGAAAATACGATGCGATTCGAGTTCAGAGGTTGGTGTATTGATGTACACAACAATATTATATTTGTCTTACAGCTAGTCTGCTATCACAGTTTTGTTGTTAATTAATTATGGTTCTTTTTGTCACTGTATACAGTTCATATAACAACATACAACATCACTGCCTACTGACAAACAGGTTAACAGTGATGAAGGTGCTGGTGTGGTTAAAGACCCCATGAAATGCCTTGACAAGATCCTCTGCAGTGAATGGGTGCCGTCAGAATGAGAGTCCAACCAGCTGATAAAAACATCACAATAATTCACTAGTAATCCACATGACTATAATCCATTATCTTCTACAATAAACAAATGATGCATTTGTTTATTACAAACATGCAGCTTTTCGCTTCACAAGACATTAACTGATGAAGTCGTGTCAATCGTGTGGCTTACTTGTGGATTATGGAGATGTTTTTATGAGCTGTTTGGACTCTCATTCTGACGGCACCCATTCACCCATTCAGGTTCAATTTATGAGTAAGTGAAGCAATAGATATAACAGAAACATACTCATCTACATCTTGGATGGCCTGAGGGTGAGTAGGTTTTGAGCAAATTTTCATTTTTGGGTGAACTGCTTCTTTAAATTTAAGCCTGGTTTTGTTGACAAATTGGTGAAGAGACAGAAAAAAGGAGAAAAAATACAGGCATTAGGCAATTGTGTCACTATTACAAATCACACCCATCACCAAATTACAACATGCTATAGAATTTTGTAGTTGAACACATCTAACCATGCAAAACAGCTTACAATCAGCTTTAACAGTTAAAGAACCATGCAAACCCATCCATTCATTCCCCCACTCATAGGCATGTATTACATACATCTACAAGTACAGTCACACTGCAATGAAAAAAGGTATTTAGAAAATTCTATTTATTTGTGCCTTTAGTGCAAACCTCAACATTAGAAAATGAAGAAAATACGATGCGATTCGAGTTCAGAGGTTGGTGTATTGATGTACACAACAATATTATATTTGTCTTACAGCTAGTCTGCTATCACAGTTTTGTTGTTAATTAATTATGGTTCTTTTTGTCACTGTATACAGTTCATATAACAACATACAACATCACTGCCTACTGACAAACAGGTTAACAGTGATGAAGGTGCTGGTGTGGTTAAAGACCCCATGAAATGCCTTGACAAGTGCAGTTTTTTTTGTTCGTCCTGCATTGATATACTACTCTTCCAAAATTTCAGGTCAGGAATTTTTTATTTTATTTATTTTTAAAGAAATTTATACTTTTATTCAGCAAGGACACATTCGATTGATCAAAAGTGACAGTAAAGATATTTATAATGTTACAAAAGAGTAATGGCTACTGAATTTTCCCATCACAGGAACAAATGACATTTTAAATTATATAATAATAGAAAACAGATATTTTAACTTGTACTATTATTTCATAATATTACTGTTTTTACTGTATTTTGATCAAATAAATGGAGCCTTGGTAAAGCATTAGAGATTTCCTTTAAAAAATCTTGCCTTAACTATTCCCTTTTATTTAATGTGATTTGATTTTCCTCTTGCTATTGCTAGTCAGGTGGTACCGTATTAGGTTTGAGGAACATTCTCACTCTAAAAATAATTTTTTGGATAAAAATCCAGCCATTAATATTTTTGGTCTGTTTTTCCAGAAGTGAAAGTCTATAAATTGTACATTTGGCCTGAAAGACAATTTGAATCGCACACCAGCATACAGATGGCCTCAAAGCTAACAAACAATTTTCATTCATGGGGTCTTTTGGCCATAATAACGGTTAAGAGGAAAGTTCGTATCAATTGATAATGATGTGAAGTTTGTCAGTTTGAAACTAGGGTTAGTAAAATGTTACACCCTTCTGATTGGCAGCTGTTAGTGAAACAACAATAAAACATCACCATGATTTTTAGAGAAGTGAGTGAACTTTTTCAATTTTCATTGAGTGAGCCAAACTGGAATTGGTGTTAGTAGATTGAATAGATATTTTTCCTTAGATAACTCCAAATAAATTACTGAGTAATGTAGTTTTTAACTGCTGTAATATGAAAACCATTTGCCATTTTTTAGCCATACAGCTGATAACTATCTGATAAAGAATCTAGATCTGAGTGGTGTTAATTGTCCCATGAATCAAAACAATGGGGCAATGTGCAGCGTGACTCAGAAAAAGATGTGAACTTAGTATTGCTTATTTTATTTATTTTTAAAGAAATGTATACTTTTATTCAGCAAGGACACATTCGATTGATCAAAAGTGACAGTAAAGACATTTATAATGTTACAAAAGAGTAATGGCTACTGAATTTTCCCATCACAGGAACAAATGACATTTTAAATTATATAATAATAGAAAACAGATATTTTAACTTGTACTATTATTTCATAATATTACTGTTTTTACTGTATTTTGATCAAATAAATGGAGCCTTGGTAAAGCATTAGAGATTTCCTTTAAAAAATCTTGCCTTAACTATTCCCTTTTATTTAATGTGATTTGATTTTCCTCTTGCTATTGCTAGTCAGGTGGTACCGTATTAGGTTTGAGGAACATTCTCACTCTAAAAATAATTTTTTGGATAAAAATCCAGCCATTAATATTTTTGGTCTGTTTTTCCAGAAGTGAAAGTCTATAAATTGTACATTTGGCCTGAAAGACAATTTGAATCGCACACCAGCATACAGATGGCCTCAAAGCTAACAAACAATTTTCATTCATGGGGTCTTTTGGCCATAATAACGGTTAAGAGGAAAGTTCGTATCAATTGATAATGATGTGAAGTTTGTCAGTTTGAAACTAGGGTTAGTAAAATGTTACACCCTTCTGATTGGCAGCTGTTAGTGAAACAACAATAAAACATCACCATGATTTTTAGAGAAGTGAGTGAACTTTTTCAATTTTCATTGAGTGAGCCAAACTGGAATTGGTGTTAGTAGATTGAATAGATATTTTTCCTTAGATAACTCCAAATAAATTACTGAGTAATGTAGTTTTTAACTGCTGTAATATGAAAACCATTTGCCATTTTTTAGCCATACAGCTGATAACTATCTGATAAAGAATCTAGATCTGAGTGGTGTTAATTGTCCCATGAATCAAAACAATGGGGCAATGTGCAGCGTGACTCAGAAAAAGATGTGAACTTAGTATTGCATGGGTTTCCAATTGATTTAAGTGCTTGATAGGAAATGTATTTCCCAAATGCAATCCTCAACATTGATGTAACCAGTCATTAACTGAGAAGTCAGTGAAAGATGTTAGAGCAAGTGAGCAACAGAAATACCTTTGAGTGCAGCATAATAAAAAAAAAAAAGACAAAGGCGATTTTAAGCAAAGAAAACCCAAATATCAGGCAGCTCCTGCTGATTACTCTGATTGCAGTAAATTGAAAGGTGGTTAAGCGTTTGATTTGGGCCAAACGCTCCTGTTGACCCACCGACTCAGCAATAATTGCTTACTAATCAAGACACGATGGTCCTACTCAAATGGTTATTTCCTACCATTAGCAATTTGCTAACAAAGCCATTGACTAAATGAGTGCAAGCTCTCGTGGCCACATTAAATGGGCAATAGAGTGCAACAGCCGGGTTCCAAAGTAACAATCCCATTCATTTTCTCCATAAAGGAATGGATTTTTAACAATAACTTATAAAGACAGACCTACTGTGAGTTAAGAGGTTGTTAATCAATGGAATATGCTTTTGTTGAAGCCATTTATTTCAAGTTATTTCAACATATTTTTAAAGAATCCTCTTTAACAGCAGAATTCCTGGTGAAAAACTAAATTTCCATCATTCTGCAAAATAATCTCCATCATTCAGAGAATCGTGTGAAGCAAATTTTGTCAAAAGAATATATACATATATATTTATATTTGTGACCCTGGACCACAAAACCAGTCATAAGGGTCAATTTTATGAAATTGAGATTTATACATGATCTGAAAGCTGAAAAAATAAGCTTTCAATTGATGTATGGTTTGTTAGGATAGGACAATATTTGGCCGAGAGATACAACTATTTGAATATCTGGAATCTGAGGGTGCAAAAAAATCTAAATATTGAGAAAATCGCATTTAAAGTTGTCCAAATGAAGTTCTTAGCAATGCATATTACTAATCAAAAATTAAGTTTTGATATATTTATGATAGGAAATTTACAAAATATCTTCATGGAACATGATCTTTACTTAATATCCTAATGATTTTTGGCATAAAAGAAAAATCGATAATTTTGACCCATACAATGTATTGTTGGCTACTGCTACAAATATCCACGTGCTACTTATGACTGGTTTTGTGGTCCAGAGTCACATATATATATTTAACAATCACTATTGGAAAAAATGAATGGTAAAACTATTTCCGGAACCAAAGTTGGTGCACTCCATAGTTTCATTTGAAATCATTCTCAGAGTGTTTGAGCTGAAGCAGGATTTTCTGACACTGATGTTCAGGTTAGAATGAAGAGGCACTTCACTGATTTATTCTTCTATAGGAGATGATGATTAAGAATGATTGCACACAGAAACACCTTCATACCCAGTTAATTACCAACAATAATTAATTTGTTGTTAATACGAGGCAGCAGGGTCAATAATTCCCACCATATTATGTTCATATAAAATATAGCTTTACAAATTATTTCAGAAAATATATATATAGATTATAATAAATAATTTAGTGAATTAACATTTGAGAAAACAGGCATAAAAAATGTTTCAAATCCATTGTGAGAGATCAGAAAGGCAGTCAGAGATAGTGTTATCAGTTTCTCTTCACGTTCGAATATATTCACAAGTCTGTGCAGGAGAAGCCAGGAGTCGATTTCTGGACTGTAACTCTCCATGTGTCTGTCCACATTCTGGCCAATCCTTAAACACACCCACAACACGGCCCCGTCCCACCCATGGCCTGTTAATGTAAAGCTGTGCTTTGTTCACGGAGTAAAACATGTGTTAGCATGTTAGCTTTGTGTTTGTGGCCTTATGGTGGAGGGCCGTAGCGAGGGTCCCTGTGTTTATTTGGAAGGGAGTAACGTACTGGTCCTGGGTCAGAGCTGACGGGTCGAGTGGAGGTGCGGGAGCCCACGGGCTGTCGCTCACCCTGACTCAAGTTACGTTTGCGCTCGCGCACTAGAGCTCTCTGGTGCCTTCTCATTCTCTCCAGCTGCTCCTCCACACTCATCCTCCCTCTCTGCGGCGGGTGATCAGGCTGAGACTCTCCCGAGCACAGCCGCTCCAAGGCACTCTTTGGTCTCTCCAACATGAGACAGAAAAAGATTCAACATTTTAAATGTAGCTATTGATGGCTGAAGAATTTCAGCTTTGTAAAAAAAAAATATATATCCACAATGCAAAAGGATAACTGTTACACTGTTTACAGGACCACAAAAAGTGATCACAAAATTATTATTATTTTTTTTTTAGGTATACTGGTATTACAACTTGTTAAATGGCATTTTACCACTAAAAGCATCATGTGTCTTAAAGATAACCTGAATGATTAAAAGCTGTAATAATATTTCACCTCTTCTTTGAAGAGTCAGGTAGCCTGGGTCTACTTGATCTGTTCCTGCTCCAGGAAGCTCTGGTTCACTCAGGTAGGATCGCAGTTCCACCTAAAGCCCAAAACTGTTACACTGTTTACAGGACCACAAAAAAAATTATAAAAATAAAACTACAAATATATAAATAGATACATAGTATAGCATCAATTTATACTTTGATTATGACATCATTTTGAATATGACAATATGATAATATAACATAAAAGCATATTTAAAATTGTAAAATATAATACATCAAATCTAATATATATATATATATGTTCGCTCAGGTAGGATCGCAGTTCCACCTAAAGCCCAAACATTTCATTTCATCCTAACTGCAGAGTAATCAATCACAATGCAAAGACTAAATGTTATGGTTACACGGATGGTGTTAAAACATAAGGCCATTGAATTAAATTACATAATTTTATTACAATTACATTATTCAGTAACTGCATTTGATTTCATATACTGTATGTGAAGTTCAGTAAAACAAATGACTTGAAGTGTTTTATTTTAGTATTATTTATACACTATTACAGTATTAATTCATATTTTGAATTATTTTTTTATAGTTTCAGTTTTCATTTTAGTTTATGTTTTAATAATTCTGTTGTGATTTTGTAATTATTATTTTTATATACACAATATAAATAAATATGTATAATATAATATAATATAAATATTTTATATAAATAAATATAACTATTTATTATATTTATTAAATATATTTATTTTATTTCATCATTATTTAAAGTACTGAAAACAACTTTTAATTGTTTTAGTTTCAGTTAACACTGATGTTAACAGTGAAGTTCATTGTTAACTTTACAATAACAATGACCTTCACGAATGAGTTAAAATTACCCTGCAATCTCCATTCACATTGCTGCTTTCTCTGTCTCGTTTCCTCTCATCAGATTGTCGTTTGAGGCCACGGACAGAAGTGTGTCTGATGACCGATGTTTCTTTAGGTAGGGGCGGGACAACAGGGGGTGTGTCCTCATCATAGAGGAGGGGCAAAGGTGGTCTGGGTGGAGCATCATCTTCTTCCTAAAAAACAATATCATGCACTTAAGTAAACCATTAAGTATTGTTAATTAGTTGTCTTTAGCAAGGGTCTTTTGTCTAAAGTACCTTACAGTACAATAATTTTAGGAAAAGCACCAGTCAAGCAATACATACCCATTTTGGCACAGAGTGAGGATGCTGAAGATGTTCATTGTACATGGGCAGTGATAACGGACTGGAGGTAAGACTGCGTTGGGGTGACCGCACCTCAACTGCGGATGGGGTTGTGCACCGAGAAGGCACTGTCGACTTGATCACTGAAGGCACAAGTTTTCTCTCTGGACACAAACATAAAGAGCACAAAATCAAGAGTTATATACCAATGTTATATTAAGAAGAACAAGATCTGTAGTAGGTTCATTAACCCTATCTAACTAGTTCATTCTTACCTGGGTTCTTCACTGAGTCTATGGTGATTTTGAAGGTTTCTTTGGATGAGCTGAGTCCAGTCATCACGTCCTCTATCCTCCAGAGCTCCCTCCTCAACTGATTTTTCTCCTGAGAAAAAAACACACCTATTCAAAAGTCTTCATATGGTATTTTTATTCTAGCCAGGATTATTATTACTAAAACCATATAAAAAAATGTCATTACTTGAAATAAAAAAAAAGGTCTGTTCACACCAAGGACGATAACTATAAGATATAGTTTTAAAAACCGATTTAAGTTTAAAAGAATAGTGGCGTTTACACCACAACTATAACACTAGTGGCACTTAAAAAATAAAAATAAAAAAACACTGACAGCCGATTAGAATCCACCGACTTTTAATAGCTTGAGCATTTAAAGCAGCATATGACATAACTGCTGCTCATGGTTATGATAAACAATGCTAGCGTGCGCTGGTGTGTACGCTGATATAGTTAACGTTCTTGGTGTAAATAGGCCATAAACATTAAATAAAATAAAATATTTTAAAAAACTTATTTTATTTTAGCTAGTTGCCAAGTCCAGAATTGGGTAGATTACTTACAAATTGTAGTCTGTAACTGATTCCAAATTACATGACAAAAATTGTAGTTAGTAACGTAATATATTACACATTTTAGGTAATATAATTAGACTACTTTTAGTTACTTTTAGATTACTTTTGATCTAACTAAATAATAAATAGGATAATCTTGTTCCATAACGATGTAAAAATACAAAGAATAAGAAAATATATTCCATTTGCTGTAATTAACAACATGAAGTGCATTACGTTACGTCAAGGTAGGGCTGTACAAAAAATCGAATGCGGTTTTCATGCGCATCTCGTCAGTAAAGCCGCTCCTGTGATTAGTAGTAAATCTCCAGCACGTGCTTTCAGATGGAGCGCATTTACTACACAGAGCCATAGTTCACTGACAAGCTACGCAAAATCGTGTTCAAAATCGCAGGCGATTCATTGCCGATTATGTAATTGCGCTCCATCTGAAAGCACGTGCTGGAGATTTACTACTAATCACAGGAGCGGCTTTACTGACGAGATGCGCATGAAAATCGCATTCGATTTTTTGCACAGCCCTACGTCAAGGTTTCCCAAACTGGGGTTCGTAAATGAACTGCAAGCTAATAATTAATTAGATAAAAAAAATGTCAAATTAAAATTAATTTTAAGATAACATCAATTAAAATAAAACACTTACTAAAAAATTTCATATTTTATTTGTTTTATTTGTTTATTAACTAACGTCAGAGAACCATGGACATGCAAATGTGATACTTAATAAATATTTATTTTAAAATCTCAGGGGTACTTCAAGTAAATATATTACGTTCAGATGACAAAAAGGTTTGGGAATGCCTGCATTACATGTAAATAAGAAATAACATGAATGTGTGCCTTTTAATGTGTTTGAAAGACAAAAGCCTTCAAAAGACATAGTAATACATGGTTAAATAACCTACTGAGTGATTATTCAAATAAAAAATAATGTTTTCATCAGTAGTTGATGCAATGTTGAAACACTTCTGAAACCAGAAATGATTCTTGTAAATCCAGTGGTCAAATACTGCGTAGCCACCTGACCGGTGACTTGTCTTTGTGTGAATGTCCACCAAACTGAAAGACTCTACGACGGTATATAAGCGGTAGGCTATTTTAGAAAGGAACATTTACAAGATGAAAAAGAGGAATTAGGGAGAATCAATAAATCATGAATCATTTATTGATGTTGCGTGAATATGTAATCAATAAAAAAGTAACTGTAGTCTGATTACGAGTATTTTAAAATGTCTTTTAATCTAATTACAAATACTTAATTTTTAGAATCTGATTATGTAATCCAGATTACATGTAATCAGTTATTACCCAGCTCTGGCCAAGTCAACATTTCTTATTTTCATTTAGTTTAAGTACTAAAATAAATTGAGCAAAATAAACTCAAACGAATTACCAAAACGAATAAAAACTAGCTAATTCAAAATATTAAGAATACATATAATAGTATTTCTTTGGCATGGTAATGTACATGACAATGTTAATGTATTTGGTCTTTGGTACTGAGACTTGCTACTGCCAATACATCCACAAGAAATACTGCTGCTGCACATATAACATATGTGAATAACCCACATAGCACACATGATCACCCCAAAGCAGATCTATACAGGTGGAGCTGGGGAAGGAGGAGGGTTTCTGAAGTGTGCTGCAACTGCTACCACAAGCATTAGCCAAATATTTGAATGTTGAGCAGAGAGCTCATTGGCTACGATACATGAGAGAACCAATCAGCTGTGACATGTGATGATGTCATTATGTCATACTGAGTTAGATCTATCGGACTGCGTCATCTAGAGTTTCATGCCAGAACTTTGTATTTCAATGATACTAAAATAACTGATTCTAGGTAAAGGTGACTGCATATTTTTATGTAAAAATTTATAAAAATGAGTAAGGCAGCTAATCAAGTAGGTGAGAGAAAATCATGATAGCAAAAAAGACAGGACTATAAAAAAGGATTAAGAAATGGAGAGAAAAAAGACCTGAGGTGATGTGCAGAGATTCATCTGAGTCTGCAGGACGTCCCTCAGCTGTTCCACTGACTGCTCCAGCCTGCTGTAGTCCTCCCACACTCTCTCCATCTCCTGAACAATACAAATATATGAACAATTAAAGCTTTTCTACACCAACAACCAGTTTACTTATTATGCATTACATTAAATATTATATTACCCGTGACCCCTATGACAAGCGATTTGGAGAATGGATGTATATTATATTATATGGATGAATGGAGATGTGAAGCACTGTGGGTCTACATCACATAATATACTCACCGTTGAAACTCTAGAAATGTCAGCTCGAATATGCACCAGGTCCTCTTGAAGAAGTCGCTGCTGGTAGGCGATCTTCTCAGCATGAGCCGGCTGATCCTTGTACCGCTCCATCTGCTGGTGGGACACATCCAGAACAGACTCAAGCTTGTCCTAGAAAGAAAGAACAAAGATAACAACACTGACATACCCATAACAACAAGATCAAAATAAAAGTCAAATTTGCCTCACCTTATCATCCTTAAGTCCACTGAGTCTGAACTCAAGCTCTTGCAGTATTTTGTCTTGTTCACACAATCGACTCAGTGTCACCTGCAGTAGCAAACAGAGCATTATGGACCAGTTCAGACCAGGAAATTGAGCTAAATAATATGAAATAATGATGTTTTGTGCATAGCAATATGTAATTAAAGAGTAAGACACTGATTTGTCCTCAATACTCACATCTACATTACTTTCTGCCACCTTCACTGGCTTTGCCAGCCGTCCTTTCAGAGTCTCTGTCCCACTCACCTATTAGACAGTTCACAGAAAAAGCCTCCTTGTCTTAGTGCTCCAGAGACAGAAACACATCTATTCAACACAAGCGAAGCAAGACCAACACTATACAATGGCCACTGTACTAAAAGTCACAGTGAGAAGCTTTGAGACAGTATTCTTCGTTTCTAATGCACAGATGTAGGAGCTGAAGCTTTCTGGAAGCACAATGGCAGGATGGTGTCTGTCTCACTTGATCTTCATGCCAACAGAATACAGCTGTGGGACATAAATGCAATGTCTAAAATAAACGCTGCATGGTAAACTCATAAAAGAAACCAAAGCTCTGGACAACGATGAACTGGACAGTGTGGGGGAGGAACTAACTAAAAATAGCAAAGCTACAACTTAGCTTAGCTGGTTTCAAAACAGTGTACTTTTTATATGTTTACATTATTTCACACACAGCCTTGCAACCAAGCGAGAAGTGTCAAACTTAAATGTTTCTTTCTAATCAAATAGTAATTGGTAGGCCAATTTAAATCATCTGGATGATTCATTTAAATGAAATTGATCAAAAACAGATTTACAGATGCATATTTAAATTAGCATTTTATGTATTCTTTTTGTAGTGATATGCAGTTATTAGTATAATATTTTTAGCAATAAAAAGCAAAGAAATTATGTTAGCACTGTTTTTGATTTAGTTACGCTGTTTTTCAAAAGTTTTGGAGTCAGTACGATTTTTAAAAAAAAAATTTTTTGAAAATGTTATGCTCACCAAGGCTGCATTTATTTGATCAAAATGTAGCCTATTAAAACAGTAATACTGTGAAATATTATTACAATTTACAATTTAATTTAAAAAATGTAAATTTACAATTTAAAACTGAATTTTTATTTAAAGCTGAATTTTCAGCAGCCATTACTCCAGTCTCACATGATCCTTCAGAAATCATTTTAATATGCTGATTTCTTATTATTAACAATGCTGCAAACAGTTCTGCTACTTAATATCTTTGATATATTCTCAGGATTATTTGATGAATAGAAAATTCAAAAGAACAGCAATCATTTGCAACATTATAAATGTGTTTACTGTCACTTTTGGTCAATTTAACGCACTTTTTAAATCGTACTGACCCCAAACTTTTGAATGATAGTGTATAGAAATGTCAGTGTTGTTTAACTGTATTGTTTTAAATTAAGTTGGATGCTGTTAGCCTAATTTATATTATTTATTATTATAGTATTATATTACTTATCGATTTTGTGTCAGATTGCTCTTTTTAACTATATCTTATTATCTGATAATTATATAATTGAAAACTGCCCCCATCAGTGTAGTTAGCTACTTTTTGTTATCAGCTTGTAGTGAAGCTAGTAAGTTTTCTGAATAATTGTTTCAAGAGGAATTAAGAGTTTAAGAAGTATTTTCCCCAACACTGATACTGGAGGCTGTCAGGGAAGTTTCAGAGGAATATTCTACTGCTACAACATACAGATCATCTAGAAAGCTACACATAATTACTAGACATCAAATTAATGAGATAAATAGTTTGCTAAAGAAAGAAACAGAACGCATTGGTGAATCAGCTGGCTAAATTTGAATCATTCCCTGCACATGCACTGAGCTTGCCCGTCCCATCCAGACCTGCCGTCTCATTGACCCAATCACACATACCCACAGCACAACATATCACTCACAAAAGGCAGGGAAGATAGGCGTGCAGGTGCCAGGCTTGTGCCAACACAAAGCTATGTGCACCGTGTAAAGCAATGGGAATGCGGACACTCTGGATGCCGACAGTGCTTACGTTCCAGAGTGGTCTCAAACCCCCCGCAGTGCAGGTTTGTAACACACTGTGAACCATGAGGATCAATGGCTCTAAACTTTTCATCTGTGGCAAACGGAGATAGACAGTTATAGTCAAAGGAGGACCAGCCTTATATACAGGTGCATCTCAATAAATTAGAATGTCGTGGAAAAGTTCATTTATTTCAGTAATTCAACTCAAATTGTGAAACTCGTTTATTAAATTAATTCAGTGCACACAGACTGAAGTAGTTTAAGTCTTTGGTTCTTTTAATTGTGATGATTTTGGCTCACATTTAACAAAAACCCACCAACTCACTATCTCAACAAATTAGAATACTCCATAAGACCAATAAAAAAAACATTTTTAGTGAATTGTTGGCCTTCTGGAAAGTATGTTCATTTACTGTACATGTACTCAATAACTTGGTAGGGTCTCCTTCTGCTTTAATTACTGCCTCAATTCGGCGTAGCATGGAGGTGATCAGTTTGTGGCACTACTGAGGTGGTATGGAAGCCCAGGTTTCTTTGACAGTGGCCTTCAGCTCATCTACATTTTTTGGTCTCTTGTTTCTCATTTTCCACTTGACAATACCCCATAGATTCTCTATGGGGTTCAGGTCTGGTGAGTTTGCTGGCCAGTCAAGCACACCAACACCATGGTCATTTAACCAACTTTTGGTGCTTTTGGCAGTGTGAGCAGGTGCCAAATCCTGCTGGAAAATGAAATCAGCATCTTCAAAAAGCTGGTCAGCAATTCACAATTTGAGTTGAATTACTGAAATAAATGCACTTTTCCACGACATTCTAATTTATTGAGATGCACCTGTACACTTCGACTGGATCATTACTATTACCATTACCATTCTATAATTCCTGATTATGCCACAAAGTTAGCATACTAAATATAATCAATTTCTGAAATAAAGCAAATGCTTGATTCCTCGCCCCAAGTGAGCTTTCTGTGCTGTGTTAGTGTGTTAATACAGAAGGTTTAAGAAGAAGGTAAGACAGGAATAAGAGAGATAGAAATGGAGAGGTCCCACCTTCAGATCTAAATATTCCAGGTCCTTCTTCAAGTCCATGTATGTGTCATCAGCCTGTAAGTAGCAGGAAACATTTCAATTGGCACTCTTCTACTCTTTAATTAACACTAATGAGTTGTTTTATCTATCCACCACACACTTTAGTGTAACACTGCACTAGCACTGAAGCAATAGCTGGCTATGCACCTGGTGTGCCAGCTTTGGGACAAACTACACATATCACACTACTGGCTTGATACCACAGACTCCTTTTTTGAACATTGTTCACATTGACATGCAAGTGACAGCTATACACACTACCGCTCAAAAGATTGGGGTTGGTAAGATTTTTTAAAATGTTTTTAAAAGAAGCCTGTTATGCCCAATGGCTGCATTTATTGGATCAAAATACAGCAAAAACAGTAATAATGTGAAATATTTTTTCTAATTAAAATAACCGTTTTCATTTTTAATATATTTGAAAATGTAATTTATCTCTGTGATGGCAAAGCTGAATTTCACTACTCCAATCTTCAGTGTCACATGATCCTTCAGAAATCATTTTAATATGCTGATTCCGTGATTAATTAATTAGTTAAAGCTGCAGTCCGTAACTTTTGGTGCTCTAGCGGTTAATAAACAGAACTGTGAGCGTCTTGCGGAAGAACATTGTAGCCGGAGCTACTTCTCTCTGTTTATGTCAATAACGAATCACGCAAGTACTGGGCTACTACGCAGCGGGACCGACCCGAACCAGTCTGAAATAGTCCGAATACAAACACTTATTATAGGTGTACCGTAGTGATTCAGGACAAGACAAAAACACGGTTTGGAAAATGGATTCATGGTGTACTCGCTTATTATATAAATTTTGAACACAAAAAAGTTACGGACTGCAGCTTTAATTAATTACATTTTTTTTAGAAAGCTCAAAACAAAAGTGTTTATTTCTTTTGTAACACTATAAATGTCTTTCCTCTCACTTTTGATCAGTATAATTAATTTCATCATCAGTTGCCCTCACCCCATACTTTTGAACAGTATTGTAAATTTACTTGAGAAGCAATGTTTTGTAAGATATTAAGAAATTACACTATATTTCAAAGAACATACTTTTAACTAAGTTTTCTCCCTTTTTCTCCCTTTGGCACCAAATAGTTTGTTTTAAGCATAAACCTAAAAGTAGGTTTTAACCCTTAACCTAAGCATAAAACAAAAATAAGTCTTAATTAATATATTATGTGATTTCACTTCTCAAGTAAATTTATGTTTGTTTTAGGGATGTTTATTTTATTTTTTTACAGGAAAACAAAACAAAAGTATAGATTAAGAAAATGATTATTCTGAGTGTGTTACATTGACATTAGGTTGGAAACAAAAAAATATTTGGTAATATTTTACAACAAGGTTTCATTTGTTAACATTAGTTAACCACATTAGATAACATGAACTAACAATTAAAGGGATAGTTCACCCAAAACTGAAAATCCTGTCATTATTGCTCACCCTCATGTCATTCCAAATCCGTAAGACCTTTGTTTATCTCCAGAACACAAATTAAAATATTTTGATGAAATCTGAGAGCTTTCTGACCCTGCATAGACAGCATTGCAACTACCACGTCCAAGGCCCAGAGAGGTAGTAAGGACATCATTAAAATAGTCCATGTGACATCAGTGGTTCAACCTTAATTTTATGAAGCTACAAGAATACATTTTGTGTGCAAAGAAAACAAAAATAACAACTTTATTTAACAATTTCTTCTCTTCTGTATCAGTCCTCGGCACGCGTTCACAAGTTCAGGGGTTCACGAGACGCATGCTTGTGGTGATGCTGACACAGGAGCCGGGATTCTGACGCAAAATGTCCATCTCTCTTAGTTCATCATCTGTATATTCTGGTTTAAATAAGTCAGAGAGGATGACTTGCAATTTTTTTGCCCAGTCTTACTTATTTGAACTAAGATAGATGGACATTCTACGTCAGAACGCCAGCTCCTGTGTCAGCAGCACCACAAGCATGCGTCTCGTGAACTCATGAACGCGTGCCGAGGACTGACACGGAAGAGAAGAAATTGTTCAATAAAGTCATTATTATTTTTGATTTCTTTGCACACAAAAAGTATTCTCGTAGCTTCATAATATTACGGTTGAACCACTGATGTCACATGGACTATTTTAATGATGTCCTTACTACCTTTCTGGGCCTTGAACATTTCAGTTGCATTGCTGTCTATGCAGGGTCAGAAAGCTCTTGAATTTCATCAAAAATATCTTAATTTGTCTTCCGAAGATGAACAAAGGTCTTATCGGTTTGGAACGACATGAGGGTGAGTTTAAATGTTCTACAGCATTTATTAATCTTTATTAATGTTAATCTCAACATTTACTAATGATCAAATGTTGTATCTGTTAACATTAGTTAATGCACTGTGATGTGAACTAACATGAACATGAACATTTTTATAAACTAACACTTCCAAAGGTTAATAAATGCTGTAAAAATATATTGCTCATTGTTAGTTCATGTTACTTAATGCAGTAACAAATGAGACCTTATTGTAAGGTGTTACTGAATATTCATTTATCTTTACCTCAGTCCTTGACGCCAATGCATTCAGTACAAACCAAAGCAATTACACTTAGAGCAACATACTTCTGCACACATATTATTACTACCAATCACAAAGCATGATTATTATGACGTTACTGTTGAAATAATCTAGGCATATCCTACAACCAGATCAAACCAGAACTTTAGATAAGGTTTCATGGGGACCACAGACTCCAGCTTACACCTACTTCATGCAAGCAAACATTTTTGATCTTTGTATTTTCAAACTTTGGAGCAACAGCAAAGCATACTCATGTAGTATGCATAATGCCTCAAGACTGATTGCATATATAATTCATGCCGATGGTGGGACAGCCAGATACAGCCCCTAAGCATGACATGCCATGCTACGCTACAATACAAAGAAGCATCATGTAACAAAGCCAAGGGAGCTACAGAGAGCCAGGCGGGTAAATAACAGCAGCAGAGGCACGCTAGTAATGAGAGGTGCTAGCTGGGCAGGCCGAGCCCTGACCTTCACCCGAGACAACTGCTGGAGGTGGGCCAGCGCATTGTTGCGCACACCTGCCATCATGGCCTGGTGTCTCCGTAACTGGATGAGGAGAAGGGTGAGCTCCTCCGGCTGGACCACAGGTTGTGAGGGTACGATCAAGGCAGAAAGAGAGTTGTGTGATCAGATTATTTACACAAATGCCCATTGCAACCATGAAAAGAAAAGGACTGGCTCCACCAGCAGAGGTTTTTTGGGTGTCATTCATTTTATGCCACTTTGATTGCTGATATCTTATAGACTCATTAATAGCAGCGCAAAAGAGACGAACTAAACTGTAAAGTTGAATGTAAAAGTATTTGTAATTGCTTAATATTTTTCCAAAGTTGTGTGGAAAAAAATGTCTTACTGTTTTTCCATGCAGGCTGGGCGCACTGACTGTATGTGTGATGTAGCCGGTTGGAGGCATTGAGCGTCTTTCTATTGTGGCCGACTGCAGAATGATAAAAAAAAAAGAAAAGAGATCAACACATTTAAATATATTTCATCAAAAACACGTGCTCGTCAACATATAACACTATAATAATACTATCTACACTTGGGGTTGTCTGCATTTATTTATTCAGTAAAAACAGTAATATATTATTAGAATTCAAAATAACTGTTTTTATTTTAATATATTTTAAAATGTAATTTTGTCCTATGATGGCAAAGCTGAATTTCCAGCAGCCATTACTCCAGTCTTCAGTGTCACATGATCTTTCAGAAATCGTTCCCTTATGCTGATTTGGTGCTCAAAAAACATTTGTATTATTATCATTGTTGAAAAATTACTTCTGTGGAAACCGTGATACATTTTTCCATGATTCTTGGATTAATAAAATCCATAGAATCCAATAGATAGATAGATATTTTTTTTACTTTCTTCTTATTAAAGTTACAAAAGTGATTTAGTCAAGAGCAGTGAGAGATTTTCTCTCACTGTTGCTTGATTAATATGAATGGCAGACAGGACGAATATTAGACAGCTTTCCCTTTAAGACCGAAGTCCGGATCCAATATACTGTTACAAATGCATTTTCTTTTTCAGCTGTTTACTCTCTCTTAAGACCTAAATCACTGCGTTTATGAGAATACTTGCAAAGTCGGTGATTCTGACGCATGTAAGTGTGTTTATGTAATCGTTCAAAGCCAATAAAGCGGGGAAAAAATGCTTACGTCTTTTAAAGGAGAGTTTTAAACCTTACTGCCAGACATTTTTGTTCCTTGAAAATGTTAACAATCTTAGTGTCATTAGGGTCATTTCATAGTGACATTTTTTTTTTTTTTACAAAAATTAAATACTAATTTTATTCAACAGGATGCATTACATTAATATTTAATCTTTTATCCATGCAAAATGATTCAGCACAAATATTTTAAACATTGATAAAAATAAGAAATGTTTCTTGAGCACCAAATCAGCATATTAGAATGATTTCTGAAGCATCATGTGACACTGAAGACAAGAGTAATGGCTGCTGAAAATTCAGCTTTGCATCACAAAAAATTATATTTTAGTATGTATTCAAATAAAAAAATATATATTTAAATCGTAATAATTTTTAGCAATATTACTGCTCTTACTGTACGTTTGAAAATCAACTTTGTGAGCATAAGACACTTTTTAAAAAAATACTAAAAATCTTACTGACCCCAAAATTTGAATAGTACAGTGTACTTTGTGTAACCTCAGAATCCTCCATAATCCCACAGACTTTCTTGTAAATACTACTACTGTGGATTGTGATGTTATGGATAAACAGGGTGGTTGTTCTTGTTACCTACTGACCTTATAGGAGCGTAGACGGTGAGGAGAGTTTGATGGTGGCACCTCCACGGTGGGCCTGTCCTCCAGAGGTTTGACTGTAAGCCGTTCTGCAGGCGTGTGGGGTCTGCGTGGAGACAGTAGTCTGGGCCCAGGAGGCCCAGGTGGAGAGATATCTGCCAGGGTCGGAGGCACGGAAATGGAGCGAGCAACGTCTGAGTTGACTCTGGTGGAGGATACGGCGGTGGAGTAGTCTGGAGCGGGAGTGTACACGGGGGCGGTGGGGCTGCCGTGGCGATACTGCTGTCTCTGTTGCCATTCGTAGAGCTGCCACACAGTGTTGTCGTGCGTCGCAGGTCGCTGGCTGTGGCCGTGGGTCATCTGGAAGTGATTAAGCCGGTCATGGGAATATTTGTATTCACTGGACAACTGACGGTGAGCGGTTGGTGGGCTTTGCTGCACGGTCTTTGGTAAAGACTGGTATTTGTCTATTGTGCCGTACTTCGGATGAATGGAAGGGGTCCGAATTGTGCCATCCGTAGATACAAACCTGTGACAACCAAATTGTTTATTATTTTTTAAACATTTTTTATGCATTATTTGGACAAAATAAATGGATATTCAGGGTCATTAAACTCGATTCCAAAATTAAAATGAAATGAAATTAATAAAAATTAAAGCATAAATAAAATGTATGCTATGTTTATTATATATATACTGTGTACACTAGCGTTCAAAAGTTTGGGATCAGTAAGATTTTTACATTTTTATTCAATGAAGTCTTGTATGCTCCAAGGCTACAGTTAGTGATTAAAAATACAGTAAAAACAGTAAAACTGGAATATTACTACAATTTAAAATAACTTTCTTTTAATTTTAATATATTAAAATAGAAATGTAAATTAAATTAAATTTATTACTGTGGTGGCAAAGCTAAATTTTTAAACAGCCATTACTCCAGCCTTCAGTGTCACATGATCCTTTAGAAATCATTTTAATATGTTAATTTGGTGTTCCAGAAACATTTCTTCTTATTAGAAACAGTTGTTCTGCTTAATATTTTTGTGGAAACAGTGATCAATTTGTCAGCATTCTTTAATGAAGAGAAAGTTGAAAAGAACAACAATTTATTTGAAATAGAAATCTTTTAACATTATAAATGTCTTTACTGTAATTTTTAATCAATTTAATGCATCCTATCTGATATTAATATCAATTATAATATATTAATAATATTATTAATAATATTCAGCATATTATTAAGAAAAACTTTTTGAAAAAGCTCATTTTATTGTGAAAAAGAGAGATCGTTAAACAGCAGTAGTGTGTAAAAGAGGATATTGTGAAATATTTAAACAATAAGGTTGTGTTTTCATTTAATTTTACTAAATAAATGGATACATTTAATTACTGATCTATCTATCTATCTTACTGACCCATAACTTTTAAATTGCAATGTATTTATTTTTAATAAACAAAGTCTTACTGAGGGATTGGTTTATTTTATTCTAAAGAACATAAAATGTCTTGTTTCATCAAATATTTTTTCCAACTTTCCCAATTTTCACAACTCAAACACATCCTGATTCCTAAAATAAAAAAGTGCAAGACTTGTCTTGTTCAAATTCACTGATAAGTATTTCACATTACAAAAGTAAAATGAATTGTGAATGGCATTTCATGTCTACTTGATAAACTGAAAATTGGGGTGCTGTTTTCTGTCAGGATGATTTATTAAGATTTCAACCACTTGCGGGCGATACATCCCATGACTCTTCACAGTAACATCTGACTCTTCTAACTACTCTATGTACAGCGTGTCTGTGACTGAATTCGGAGAAGCGTACCACCATACTTCTCTAACTACTTCTGCTATATCATTACATGGCACAAACAGTAAGAAAAGTATAATCATTTGAATTTCGCCTGTGTAACAATACGCAACAGATGTATATACTCACCCCTGGCGTTCTTCCTTCTGTACTTTGACCCAGTTCTCCACCTTCTCCAGTGCACTCCTCCTCTGTACCTGAATAGGAGTTTGAGAAGGCGGTGTAGGCCCCCTTTGATACCCAGGCATGCCGTTCTGCTCTATGGGCGTACCGTTCCTAAGCACTGGCGGGGTCGAGACGGCCCTTGAAGGAGCTCGAGAGGGAACTTGGGATGCTGGTGTCGACCCTGGAGCTAAAACCTCCACCTCCACTATCCTCCTCGCTGGAGATTTACCCCTCGCCGGCTCCATCTCTCTTGGAGCAACCTGAATCTCCACTTCTCCAACAAATCCTTCCTGCTTCTCCTCCAGCAGCCCGTCACTTTGGATGACCTCGGGCTCTGGAATCACGTAGCTGTTGATGTGGTTGGTCTGAGGAACAGCCTGCTGCTTGAGTTTCTCAGAAAAGTTCACTTGGTCTGGATGATCCGACTCGTCTCTGTGCGGCGAAAACATGACATGTGCAAAGGTCGGTGAGGTTTTATGAGTCTATTATATGATGCTGTTATCATGCTGCCACATGTCAGGTCTGTTAGATTAACACCATTCCAAAGCATGGAGTCTGGATCATATAGTAACCCAGCCTTTACACATGAGGGACTCTGCTCATAAAACTAAATATATCCCTCACTGTAGCAGAAAAAGGCACCGCTTGACCAACCCCACAGTAGTGTTAATTTCGTTAACGAAAACTATGACGAAAAATGTTCGTTGACGAGGTTTTTTCCCCATGACTAAAATGAGACAATGACGAGATGACAATAAGGTCAATAAACGATAACTATGACTACATCAACATGCAATATCGTTGATGATAAAAGGCAAGACTAAAATGTATTTTAAAAAACTATACAAAAATCTCTATTTTCATCTAAAAAAAGGAGAAAAAATATTATTTTGCGGACTGCTGTACGTGCCTACTACGTGATCTTTCATGTGTGCAGTTGACAGATATCAAGATACATTTTCTGCCCGGTGTTTTGCTTAATTTTTGCAATCTGGCAACCATGCACACGTGCTCGCTCTTCATTGCGGAATCGCTGATGATGATCTGAAAACACCAACAAAAAAAACTTACTCAACCACTGTTGTTTTAATAGAGAAACATTATTGCAATTAGGAATTATTGGAATTACTATTAGGAATATAATATTTTTTGTTTCTTTTTACCAGTTTTTATAATGTAGACAGAGAGAGTGTATATCTAAGCCTTTGATATTAATTTATATATTAATTAGCCTATAATATTTAAGTCTTTGATATTATTTTTTATATTAAATAGCCTATAATAAATCAGTACACTAGATGAGGTAAAATAAACCATGTGTACGAGTTCACATTCTGTTGGTTTGTGCTTATTGGTGAAAGTGCAATACCTGAAATGTAAAATAAATTTTTTCAAATGACAACAATCATTACGATTATAATTTTGAGCAAAAATAATTTTGTATCAGTTTAACAGTTATACAGCATGATGAAGATGTGACTAAGTTTTCATTGACTAAATCTAGACTAAACAAAAAAAGGACAAGGTTGGCTAAATATGATAATAGCTAAAAAAGTAACACCCTGGCAAGAGCCTACAAGAATCTAGCATTGTAGAAGTGAGGTTTGCACAAGCACCACACATTTAATGCTTAAATATCAGCTATAAGCAAAGTCTTACCGCTACAATGAGCACTAAATAGTCTGTTAAACTTTGCAAATACTCATTGCTTGGTTTCTTCTAACAACAACTGTGGAATGAAAAATGATTCAGTATCACCATGTCAAATTAATTCTGGCTTCAAATTGTCCGTATATAGCAGTCTAAACGTGACATGATTAAATCAGGCCCTCAGTGAATCTACATTTGGAGAAGACATGGCCGCTGGGAGCTTGGCTATCTCTACTGGAGCTCACTCTACAGTCAGACTAATAATATCCAAGCTGCACAGACTAAAAAGAAATAGCCTCTAGTGGCTCTTTGTATTCAGAAACACTCAAAGTCTACAACAGACAAATCTCCATCTGCATTTTAACATGAACAGCTGTTCCTTTAGGCCTGATAATATCTACGGTATTTAGAGATGTAATTGTTTGTGTACTGATTGAGAAGAGATGCATTTATTCTAATATTCAGATAAGATTCAGTGATTCGAAAAGAGATTTGAAAAGGGAGGAAAAAAAAGTTCAGCAAAAGACGGGAGCGAACCTGGGTCGATCGCGTCAAAAAGCCAAGGACACGCGCTTATCCATCTGCGCCACTGGAGCTGATGTTTTACAGCCACTTTTAACTAAATGTAAATAGACACCCCGTATTTTTTATTCCAGAGTAAGGGCAATTCATACAATACATTTAAACTGAGCTACTTTAATACCATCTCCGAACTTTCTACCACGACTCTGCTGTTCTTCGGCTGGTTCTTCCTGTATACGTTGATTGACAGATGTCTCGTCCAGTCAGCGGTGAGTAATCCCAAACCAATGGCGCTGTCTCAAACTATACCTACCTTTTCCGGTTTGTCTGATTTGTCGTTGTGTTTTCTGACTTGTTAATTTGTTTTCGGATTTGTCGTTGTGTTTTCTGACTTGTTATTTTGTTTTCGAATTTGTCATTGTGTTTTCTGACTTGTTATAATGTTTTCTGAATTGTTGTTGTGCTTTCTGAATTGTTATTTTGTTTTTTAGACTTGCATTTGCGTTTGTAATTTGTTATTTTGTTTTCAGAATTGTGATTTGCTTTGCACTTCTCGGCCACCGTAGCATTTTCTACTAACGTGCTCTTTAAATAACAAAAAAAAATATTGCGCCATTGACTTTAGACCAAGTTTGAGTTGGTCTATGGCGCAGTCTATTTTCAGTTCCTCAAAATAGCAACGCGCTAACAATGCACCTGAACACACCTCTTTTTTAGACCAGCACACCCATGGGCGCACAAATGGGCGCAAATGCATTTGCTATTTAAACAACGAGGCGCAGGATTGGAAAATTAGAACTGCGTCGGGCTGAAACTAGCAAAAACACTTGCGCCGCGCCTTGCGCCACATTGCGCCGGGTGTATGATAGGGCCCTTAAAATGTAGTAAATTAATAAAATATTAAAATTGAAATGTAACACTAGTTAAAATGATAATAAAGTACTTTATCTGCTTGAATGTGTTAGTTAACATCAAAATAAGTGTGCTTTCATAATGCATGACAGGATTATTAAAACAATTGTTTAAATGTACATAAAAGAAAAACTTTAATTTTGACATTTGACAAAGTACAATACTTTTAAAAGTATGTGAATGTGTATTCTGTAAGTACAGTTAAGTGGCCTTTAATTTAATATTACATTATACAGTATTTTTAAATATACTTCTAAGATTTAAAGTACTGTACAAGTACCCATTTACTTGTACAATTTTAAACTGTTCGCTATGATTTACCCAAATAAAGAGTACTAAGAGGTTTGTGCAATTGAACAAATTGCATGTGCACTTCGTGGGCATATTGCAGATAATTTACTCAAGAGTATTCGCACAAATAGCCACATGTGCAAATAAGCTGGACCAAAACAAAGCCTACAGAGATTCTCAGAAAACATGAAACCCACATTCCTACAGTCGGACTTGAAACGGCAAGGCGTAAGCATGCCTGATTCCATTCAAAGCACCAAACAAATGGTATACACAAGACATTTCTGGCAAAGGAGAATGGGAAAACACAAACATAAAGGCATCTATGAGAATGAAAAGCCACTCTATGAGTCTCTACATGAAGTTATGAAAAGAAATGACTCAGAATGGCGTTTTTATCCTGGACTATCACAGTCTAATTTTCTGCCTCGCTGACTGCCAGCTCAAGCTGACACTAGTCTCATTAGTGTTGGGCTGCTATGACAACTCTAAGATCCAGCCGTGATCCCAATTTGGTGCCTTGGTTAACGACATCACCAGCAGTGACAGCTAACTATTCAATCTTTTATGGCTAAAATTGGGCGACACGCATTACGCATGTCAAAGGAGAGCATTGATGGTCTAAACCATATACATGTTTATACAGCCTGCGTTCACACTGTATTTAAAAACAGTGTGACTCCAGATTTTTCCTATTTATGTTTATAGTATCTGAACTAGGGATGAGTATTTTGTCATTTTGACTGTTTGAGTACTCAGTACTCAGTCACTGCTCAGTACCCATCTGGTCTTTTGCACTGGCAGAGCAAGACACTGCAGCATCGCTGTCAATCAACAAGACTGATGCCTGACAAACACTTACAGACTCACAACGTCCCTTGACACAGACTTGGGAAAACTGCATTTGACAGTACACTTTAAACACAAACACACACACACACACACACACACACACACACACACACTATTTAACAAACACTTCAGAAAACAGCTGCAAACTAACATTAAATCACACAAAATTCATATTTTAGAGTAAAATAGAGAAAAGAAAATGTTCACACACACACACACACACACACACACACACACTATTTAACAAACACTTCAGAAAACAGCTGCAAACTAACATTAAATCACACAAAATTCATATTTTAGAGTAAAATAGAGAAAAGAAAATGTTAGAAAACATTTGTTTATAAGAAAAACATATATCTAAATCAGAACTTTTTAATTCCACTTTTTTTGACCAGAAGCAAATTTTTCTTACTCTGAAACAGTGTATGAAACACTAAATTCTAAATGAAATATAGATGAATCCTTAAAGCTATAAAAGTTATTTTTTCCACTTTTGTTTTCTTTGCCCTTTGATTAATAGACATCACAGCAGCTGGTTATTTAGCTGGTTATAGCTGCCGCTGCTGAACGTGAAGCGGATCTGACACGCATCATATTTTCTCAACTCTTTTTACCTTTTCTGACCCACTTCAGGTCTTAAAGTGTCTATTAATGAGCTGACGAGTTAAATTGGGTGTGTTAGATGAGTGAGACAGTGCTGGGCTCCAGGACAGTTTTGAAAACCATTTCAGAGACATGTTCTTAAATGTGACTCATATAAAATATATTACATGCATGCACAGTTTTAAGGCACCTTTAATCGCCTTTTTGGTAACTTCATGACTTAACTGACCACGACATTGTATGCGACTACAGCACGCCGGCGCCTTTGTGCGTGCAATTGAAGAGCATGCGCTGTGAGCACAGTACTGTTTCTGCACTCGTTTGACTTGCGCCTAGCGCTGAAGTGATGTGGAGAGCACGTCTGAAACGTCTCCCGTAATAAATATATATATATATCAGATTTGATCTAATTTAAACTAATAAACTAATAAAACATGATCCATGTTTGTCAGTCATACAGAAATGAAACAAGTACGAGTTCTGCACTCAAAAACATCATGACATATTATTACTATTTGCAACTATAAATTTATTTATATAATAAGTTTTTGGCTTAGAATCAACATAAATCTGTTCATTATGAAAACAACTACATTTATTCAGTTAAAAAGTACGAACATGGTTAAAATATGGCTAGATGTGGAACAAGCAATCTTCATTTAGTTCAAATGCATGGTACTGTAACAAACTGGATTTATTGATTATAAATATATAAACCTGATTAATGTGTAATGTAAGTGTATTAGTACTACTGCAGAAATTGTACCAATTTCAGTTATGTATGCCTGACAAATATGCATCACTTCTAGTTTATTAGATTATGTCAAAACTGTGTAATCCACATGGATGGAAATTTGTATACGCAATTCACATTCATAAATCTTACATTTAGCTCTAAATGTTATGAGATTTATGTTTAAAATATATGTTGATACAAAACAAATGTCAAAGATATATTCTGTGAAATTCTTGTTTTAATGATGTTTAGATATTTTTCTGGCCTTAAATACTCATTAAGAAAATGTTTTTGTAAAGTTTTGTGACTCACTGACCTCTTCACTGTATGGGTTTGCATCAGTGCAGCCTGGTTCATGGCTCTGACCCAGCCATTCATGTCCTCCTGTGTGTCCGCACTGAAATAGTACGTCCTCATCCCAGTGTGCTCCGCCTGCGAGCCAATCACAGAGCTTTGTTTGTAAATGTAGGAGCGCATCCCTGTGTGTGTAGCCTGCAAGAGAGAGAGAGCACTAAAATCAGTCCAGCCCTGGGAAAAGGAGAAACACTGCATCAGCAGATAAGTACTGGCTAGAGGAGCATCTGAGATTTCAGCATGATAGAGGCGTGGAGGAATACAACACAGCAGACATACTGATGAGATACAGGAAGTCAGAATGAATAAAGAAGCAAATGCCGATCAAGCCAAGGCCACACTCTGATAAGAAACACATATACACACCGATTAAACATAACTTTTCAGTTATGTAATCAAAGATACAGGAACAATGATATAAATCAGGACAGACAAAAAGGCTAAAGGTCAAATCTGTTACAATAAGCACCACACCACCCAATAAAAGGGAAGACAGTACACATTTAAAAATACTAAATTAAATAAGGTAAAAGTCAGTATTAGCAGAGACAAGTTTATTTATATAAAGATTACTACTGTTATGTTTATGTTAGCACAGTGTCTGTGTTGTATTACATGTTACTAAAATAAATTATTGTAATATAATATAATATAATTAGGGCTGTCAGTTTAACACGTTAACTTAATTAGTTATGAAAAATAATGCGACTAAAATATTTTAATGCACTGGCCCCGGCCCCAGACCTGTACGTCATCTTGCATTTCAATACAGTTGACTGTTGACAAATATGATGCAGGGCAACAACCCCATAAATGCAGTTATGCCCTAAAATTCAAGATATTGGGGCAGAAATGCGCCTGTATGAGTTTTTGTTTCATATTTACATATGATAAGTGATATTACACGAGCAAGGAGAGCAATATCACACGAGTGCTGTTTGTTCCGAATATAACGAGTGCAAATGGGATTTTATACAACAGTTCAGTAAATAAGAAGTTAATATTGTGTTATATTTTAAGTAAAATATTGTCTGTTTTTGCTCAGTTTTGCCAACAAAAGTATTACCTATAAAGCCACAGCAGAATTGTTGTGTGTCTCCGAGCAACACAGCGGTGTTTAGTTTCGAAATGAATCTGTGTTTTGAACGAATCGGGTGAATCAAAGGCCCATTCATACCGTTTACTGAATTCCTGAATGAATCAGCCATTTGAACGAATCGAATGCATGAATGACATGAATGACTGGGAGTTTTGGTTTCTTATTTAGATTATTATTTCATTTAAAAAATGGGGAAAAACAACTTTAAATGGATAGTTCACCCAAAAATTTTTAATTATGTCATCATTTACTCAAACCTGAATGACACTTTATTTTGTGGAACATAAAAGAAAGTATTTTTAAGACTGTTGGTAACAAAGCTGTTTTGGTTACCAATGACTTCCATTGCATGAATGAAATAATTGTTTCTCAAATTATATTCTTTTATGTTCCATATAGTTTATGTTGTAGCCTAAACGTTTGTGTAATAAATTTTATGTTGAATCAAGTAAAATATTTATATTATATTAAAAGCTACTATTTGTAATGTCTACTTAATACTTTCTCATTTAACACAAAAATAGCTTTAAATAATATGTTGGTGGTATTTTCACAGCCATATGTAATTTGCGATTAATTAGATTAATTAATCGACACATTTTTTTTAAATCGACTGATAGCCCTAAATAATATAATATAATATAATATAATATAATATAATATAATACATTTCACCCCCATATTTATAAGTAGAGGTTGAAGGGATCGTAGTTGACCAAGCCCCACGGTTCAGCACGCATGTGGTCTGCAGATTAATTGCAAAGGTTAACCATAATAGAGTTAAAGTTTATCACTTGTACATGTTTACACACGCAAGTGATTTTAAACCATTTCAGCGAAAGAAAAGGCTAAAGGGAACTCGACTGGTTACTTGCGCATTGTTTTCTATGCGCACAGCCGCACACATGAAGCGCGCACACGCAGAGAGGTGCATTTCAGACGGCGCGTGAACAATGAACTGAATCCTATTTCATATCTCCGTACGTTTGAACAGACACATACACATAAAATGATGACAAAATACCCATCTCGACAATCATTCTGGTAAATGCAGTCTGTTGTGTCTTAAGTGAATGAAAACAGCTGAGAAAGAAATCGGATGTGTATCATTATATTGGATCCAAACATCGGGTCTTAAAGGGACAGCAGTCTATAAATACTTGCTGCTGTCATGAATGCTAATCAAACAACAAAACAGCTTTGACAAAGATCTACATTTAATTTATACAGTGAACACAATGTTATTTTAGCCTAATTATTACATTTCTGTACCTGAATACCAACCTTATTTTACTTGTAACATTGTTCTGTTGTATTTATCTATGCTTGTAATTTGTGTATTTGTTCTTATTTTTACTGGCTGTTCACTTGTCTCTTTAACCATGTTTGAATTTTTAGTTAGGCTAGTAGTTTTTGCTGTGGTATCGAAGAAGTACTTAGCTTTAAGTAATAAATGGAAAGCAACGTTACACTGAAATATGCTTCTTTTCTTACTGATCCGAAAAACGATCCGATCTGTGGCTAAAAACCGTAATATGATCTGAACCATAAGATTTGTGATCGGTTGAACCACTAATTATAAGTATATCAAATAAATACATAAAGAGTAAAGCAAAGAAATTATGTGTTTGAAAATAATAAAATAAGTAATAAGTCATACACTATTATAAAAGACAAGTTTATTCATAAACAGACAACTACTATGAATAAGTTATAATTTATAGCCTAATTGATTTCGGTAACACATCATATCAGTGTTGCACAAAACTGCATGTTATTAAAATGCATTACAATTATACAATTGTATAATAATTATACTATATAATTACTATATAATCTATTATTACTATATAATAGTAATAATAAATATAATAGTTATTATATTTATTTATTCAATTTTTCATTTTTACTTATGTTTAACTGAAATAAAGCACACAACAAAACAGCACAGTTTTAATTAACATGAAGTCAGCCTGCAATTTCCTCATTAAACATAGATTCAGAGAGAGTAACTTGTACTGCATTCATTTACGTAATACAAAACAAAGAGACAATTATGGTTTATTAAAGACATCCGATCTCATTTCTTCATTAATTCATATCTTTTCAAAATACACAGCCGCATGAAGACACTCATGTTTACATGACTAGCTCATTAAAGGCAAGCAGTGAGGTGCGAAGCTGCTGCCTGTGTTTTAATGGTCCACTGAGGGAAAGCTCTGCAATGAGGCTGTAAAACGCAGACAGATGGCTGATTGGTTTGAATCATGCAGGGGGCCTGGACCACTGCAGGTGACTAGATGATAAATACTCAGCCAAAACATCCACTTAAGTAACCCCTATCTAATTTCTTCAGACAAATGAGACTCATGTTCTTAAATAAAAATATTCTCTTCATAGTGTCTTTATTTATTCATCTTCATGCCGTTTCAAACCAGTGACTGTTGTTCTTCCACAGAACACACAAAGCGATATTCTGATGCATGTGCATGCTGCTCTTTTCCTTACAATAGAAGTATACAGTGACCAGGGGATGTAAAGTACCATAAAGAACATATATGCACAATAAAACTAGTCCATGCAACTAGTCCATTCCAAGCCTTCTAAAGTCAACAGCTTTATGTGACAAACAGACAGAAATGTAAGTTTAAAAAATCCTGTCATAGCACTCATATTTCATTTATACTTCCGTGTATTCAAACTTGCTTACAAGAATAAAAATAATCAATGGCATCTTGTGTCGTTCATATAGCCAAGGGCAGTTTTCAGTGGATAATGACTTTCTTTTCTTTTTCCCAATAACTTCAGAAGACTTGGAATACAGTGCACATGTCAAATGGACTACTTTTATAATGACGCTTAGCTTTACAGACTCTAGTCACTGTGTGATTTCACTGTATGAAAAAGAGCTGTGTGAATAATTATTGAAAACACTTCCATTTGTGTTCTATGAAAGGCAAAATCATACATGTTTGGAATGACATGAAATTTTTACATTTTGGCTGAACTGTTACTTCAGCTTTAATAGGATGTGTATGAACCATAGACTGTATAAAAACATGGACGTAGTTTCCGTGACGTCACCCGTAGTTTTACGAAGAGCGTTTTTGAAGTCTAAAGTAGGCGGAGCCGGCCGTCGCCATCTTGGCAGCACGTCACCGCGCGTCACTCCCGGATAATCGAAAATGGGCAAAGAGGCGGGAGCAGGTTGCTGAAGCCACGCCCACCTAGCTCGACGGTGGTGACAGCAGCGGCAATCCACCTGTCACTCAAGTGGCCACGCCCTTAATTATGCAGAACTTTAAGGCTTAATATAATTTAAACAGATGAGTTATAAAAAATCCACCCCCCTCACAGTTGTCATGAAGGGCAAAATTAGCTATATAGACCAAAATAATTTTTTGAACCAGGCTGTAAACATGTTTTTTTCTGCTGTAAAGTTGGGCATTTTAACATGGGGAGTCTATGGGATTGATTCCCTTTTGGAGCCAGCCTCTAGCGGCCAGTTGACGAATTACAGTTTAAGTCACTTCCGTGTTGGCTTCACAAGAGAGAGCGGGAGGTTGCCGCTTGGTATGAACAGAAAAGCCCATTATATAATGTTAAGTTAAGAATGATAAATTTGACAAATCTAACAAGAATTAATATTATGGCAAAGGTGTTTGCTTTTGAGATGTGTTTGCAATATTTTGAATGCAGTGCTTCATTTTGCAAGAGATGTGAGGCATTTTGCATTTTGTGTGTGCAATTCTTGGATTTGTGTGTAAAGTTTTGAAAAAAAGAGACAAAGTTTTGAAAATGTGTGTAAGCAGTTGAAAAAAACTGTAAGTCATAATTTATTAGTATGATCCAACAGGCAAAAGTACTGTATGTGCACACAGCTGTGTACACACACTTGTACACACAGGAGACAAAACAAAGGGCTAACCGTAACATGCTGCTATCTTTCTTTTTGGCACCCTGCAGCGTGTAGGACTATTTGAAGATGCTTTTAGATTAACCAGGCCTTTCATTAATAGCGTTCTCTATTATGTCATACGCAATCCATTATAAGAATGTAGCGCCCTGGTACAGAGAGCTTTAATTTAACAGCTCTGTTGGCTTACAACCACAACAGGAGAGCTGCAAATATCAGTGAAATGATTCCACTGTGCAATATACATATCTTGATGATACAATAACCAAAATGTAGTATTCTCTACAATGTATATGTTAAATATGTCTGATAGGGGGGTGTGTGTGAATCAATTCGATTCAGGATTCATTGATTTTCGATACGATTCAGTAATGATTTTGGCATATTCAGAACTGTTCAATTCAATTCAGTTCGCTATGAGATTCAGTTTATTTCAATTAATGGTTTAATTCTGTATTTGTATTCTTAGGATTATGTAAATGCTTCTCCTAATGTGTTTTAGGTATAACAATGAAAAAGACAAAAGTCGCTTTTCCACTGTCAGGCCAAAGGTTCTAATAACAGTAAGGAACGTTTACAGTCATATTTCCATTTGAGCTTGGTTTGGCTGGCATGATTAAAAACCATTCTCAACCCGGAATAGAATGCGTGTAGTGACGTGACCCCTCAGCAATTGGTCACTTGTTTGCTGTCTGGCTACTAGTTTCTCTTTGTAGCTGGCCAACACAGTTAAAAAAACAGTATATGCTAGTTAGGTATGTCTTGAAGCATGGAAGCTGATTTAAGCTGGTCTTCAGTTGGTCATGAGCTGGTTATAAGCTGGTCCTCAGCAGGAGCTAGTTGCTTAGGACCAGCATAGGACCAGCACATGACCAGTTTAAACCAGCTCATAACCAGCTTATAACCAGCTCAAACCAGCTGCCATACTTCAAAACATACCTAACCAGCATATGCTGTTTTTTTTTCAACAGGGAAGCAAAGGTTACAAAGTAAGCAAAAATATCTCATCATCCTCCATAAAGTGGTCACTATTACATCTCATACCATATGTAAACACTTGCGTAAGTGTTACGAGCTCTGTTATCAGCCCTACAGTGGAAATTGAAACCATATCTGTACCAGCTAGGCCAGATAGGTACAGAATTTAATGGGTGCAGCAATGAGTACAGTTTGCCCTGACGGTGGAAAAGCGGCTAAACTATTGACTGTTTATTGCAAGCAACTTAAAAGTAAACACAATAAATATATGTATATAGAGAATACTTGGAATTTAACTAAGTTTAGCGTGCCAATATTCCACATTCCGTTTATTTCAATGACTTTTCCTGGTCTGGAAATGACCGTGGAAACCCTATCCAAATATTACAATATTACCTGTGTTTCCTCAAGGTCTAATATGCAAATAAAAGACTCCTCAAATGTCCCGATGGTTATCGTTTTCTGAATAGAATAATTTCACACATCACTGCATCTCAGAAAGAGGATATAATGCCAGTGAGAAAGGTCACAAACATTCCCAAGGAGTTTGCACATGCCAGAGATTAAGGTAGAGAAACTGTAGAGTTAAAAGTGTACCTATTTACGGGTGATGCTGAATGTGTCTCAGAGCCTTTCTGGACTGTCAGTCACTCATCACAGGCAGGAAGCCCACCAATGGGATCAGAAGTTATTTCAATGACTTTTCCTGGTCTGGAAATGACCGTGGAAACCCTATCCAAATATTACAATATTACCTGTGTTTCCTCAATGTCTAATATGCAAATAAATAAGACTCCTCAAATGTCCCGATGGTTATCGTTTTCTGAATAGAATAATTTCACACATCACTGCATCTCAGAAAGAGGATATAATGCCAGTGAGAAAGGTCACAAACATTCCCAAGGAGTTTGCACATGCCAGAGATTAAGGTAGAGAAACTGTAGAGTTAAAAGTGTACCTATTTACGGGTGATGCTGAATGTGTCTCAGAGCCTTTCTGGACTGTCAGTCACTCATCACAGGCAGGAAGCCCGCCAATGGGAACAGAAGAAGGACATAGTTCAGCAAATAAAGGACAATGACTGGTCACCTGAACCAACACCTACAAGCTTTTCCTGTTTAGGATGTATACTGGGAAATCGTCAGTATAATTTAAGGACTGTCAGCACCGTCAAGATAAGAGGGTGACAGAAACAAACAGCAGGAGCAGAAGAGCACAAAACAACATGAAACACAAAGCACAAATGCCCACAGTTAGAAGCCATAACAGAAATACAAAAGCCGAAGTTTGCTGAGCTCAATAGCCTGGGTCTTTCCCACCTTCATAGCGATATCTAGAAGCTCATCGCAGAATCAGTTAAACACTCTCTGATGCTCGGCCGTGTCTTTCTACCAGCATGTGGGGTGAGTTTGCTGGTTGAGCAGAATTCACCGCGGTAAGCCTTCTTTTTCATAGAGGATTAGTACAGATTACAGACACTCGGCCGCCCATCTGAGTCACTCAATACCAAAAATCTCCATCCAGATACCATGGTAAACATTCTCTCTTGTGTGAAGCTTACAGCAAATGATCCGTAACCCTCTAAAGAGTGTGTGATACAACTACTAGTTTAGTAAGGCACTCCAGGAGAACGATGTGACACCGTAGGCTGTGTAAAACTATCCGTTAAGGAAGGAAAGTGAAAGAGGAGTGCTGCAAAGTGCCAACTGAGATCAACATGCACTTTAAACCATTAAGTGTTAAGATCTTCTTCTTGAAAACTGGAATGTTGTCTCCTTTCGCTCCCACGTTGAAAAATCTCTCTCCAGCTTTGAGAACGGCCAGGAAGGAGCTGAGCAGAGAGAGGTAGACTGGTTATGTAACCTTGCTGCCCTCAGGATGAGTACAGACCCATACATTCACTCAGTGTCATGAACCCCATGAGGACAACAATGAACCACACAAGCTGCAGGGGATGAAACCGCATGAACTAGTCTTCGCTTACAAAAACACTCGCACATAGATAAGCACCAAAATAGAAGAGCTGTATATGTATAAAACAGCTTGTGTAATTGGTTATATACAATACAAAGAGATGGCCCTCATGGGGAAAATGTATTCCAAATGGTATGAAATTATGTTGATAGTGCATTAAATGGTTAATTTTTGTCTGCATTCTATACACAGGGCTGAAGCCATGCAAGATAATGAAGCATGCATATTCATAACTGCAGGGAGTGACTCAAAGTGACTTCAAAATCAGCAACTGCACATGACAGAACAGAAAGACACAGCTGACTGGGGAAGAGGAAGCAGCTAGTGCAAAGGAAATGAGATGAATGAGCATTTACAGTATTTACAGTCAGCGGGTCATTAGCACAATATAAATTGTGACAGGGAGTTTAAGACCTGTATTACCCTTAAGGGGTTTATTTCTTGATAACTGCATAGCTACTTTGGTTAATCAGTTGCTTGGGACAATTATAGAGTCACCCATGAAAATGAAAATCCTGTCATCATTTACTCACACTTTTGTTGTTCCCAACTTGTACTGATTTTTTCCCCCATAGAACACAAAAGAAAAAATGGTTTTGGAGAGAATAGTCACTCTGTGTTAATAAATCTAGATGGAAGATTTCAAATTGTAAAAAATGTCATAAAAGCTGTTTCATCACTTATTTCTTGATAACTGCATAGCTACTTTGGTTAATCAGTTGCTTGGGACAATTATAGAGTCACCCATGAAAATGAAAATCCTGTCATCATTTACTCACACTTTTGTTGTTCCCAACTTGTACTGATTTTTTCCCCCATAGAACACAAAAGAAAAAATGGTTTTGGAGAGAATAGTCACTCTGTGTTAACAAATCTAGATGGAAGATTTCAAATTGTAAAAAATGTCATAAAAGCTGTTTCATCACCGGCCTTCCCAAGAAGACCATTAGACAGCTGCAGCTCATCCAGAACGTAAATATAATAATAATATAAACCTAACAGACCACTCAGATCATTAGGATCGAGTCAGTTAGAAATACCAAGGGTTCACACAAAACAAGGGGAGTCCGCTTTTAGTTATTATGCCGCCCGCAGTTGGAATCAACTTCCAGAAGAGATCAGATGTGCTAAAACATTAGTCACATTTAAATGCAGACTCAAAACTCATCTGTTTAGCTGTGCATTTACTGAATGAGCACTGTGCAATGTCCGAACTGATTGCACTATATTTTATGTATAATCATTTTCTATTCTTAACTGTTTTAAATTCATTTTAAACCTCTTAAATCAATTTTTAAATAATTTTCAAAGTTTTTAAATTCCTTGTTTTATTGTTGTGATTTTTTTTTAATTATTATTATTTTGTTTTCTTTTATGTAAAGCACTTTGAATTACCATTGTGTATGAAATGTGCTTAAAAAGTGCTTTATTCCAAATCCTCATGGGATAATCAATTTCACTCATTTTATTTTAATTAGTTGCCAAAGCATCATTTTCTAAGTTGTTTTCATCTAACATTTACATTTTATTTATTTCACCTTTATTTTAATTAAAGATAACAGTTTTAAGAAATGTAGTTTGTTTTACATCCAAAGCTATCACATGACTACAGAGAATTCTGGCTACAGTGTGTATAGAGTCATATTGACCACTTTCATGATTCTTTTTTGCTAATGTATCTTTTAAGAAGCTCTAGTCCTCAGTCACTGTTGTTGTATTTAAACAAATGACCACTCCAGTAGATTGCTTAAAAATTCTCCTTTTGTGTTCCACGGTAAATGATTAAATAATGAAAGAATGTTCATTTTTGGGTGAACTGTCCCTTTAAGTTATACCTTTTAAGTAAACATTGTTGCATAGCATACAGTTAAGGGTTGCAAATTTAAGGTGTGATGCTATCTGTGTCAAAGTGAGATCTTACCTTGAAGGCATATTTGCGGCTAATGTGATCTTCAGGTCCTACAGGAGCGATAGTGTAGCTGGGCAGAGGAATGCTACCCAGCACCGACTCTTCACGACTGTCTGTGGAGTAAAAACAAGCCAATTGAGCAACCAGTCTGGTTTTGACTTTGTGTCTTTCTCTCTCTCTCCCTCTCTCTCTCTCTCTCTTCCTTCCTGGCATGCGATACTCTCTGACCTGTGTTTCTCACACCACTATGATAACATCATCACATTTCACACATTTAAGTTTAGCCTTGCTCTGCCTCCTTGTTCCGCCCTGCCCGTTTCTTTCCAGTGGAACGCTGGTGTGGGAGTGAGAGTGTGTTTATGTGTGGTTGTGTCTGAAACAGAGATTGAGTGGTGGGTTGACAAGTGATAAGGGTGGCTGAATTAGGAATCAATGAGTTAAAAATACTTATAGGTTGTTTGAAGGAGAGATTACAAACCGAGGCAGGTCACTCTTTCATTTGTGTGAGCAGAGAGCTGGGGTTCTGGGGCAGAGGTAGTTTAAGGTATAGTTGACGGCAGCCATTAACATCTTTTGTACTTTTTACATAATATGCAAGTCACTGGCTACCATCAACTGTTTGGTTACCAACATTCTTCTGAATATCTTATTTTGTGCTCATTAGAAGAAAGAAACTAATAGAGGGTTGGAACAATTTAGGGTGTGTAAATGATGGCAGAATTTTCATTTTTGGGTGAGCTATCCCTTTAACAAATCTATACTTAAGTATACTTGGCTTATATTGACAAATACATCAAAGTTAAAGTATATTTTGTCTGTTTTTGTGCTTAATCATTTGACTGAGATAGACTTATGAAAAGTATAATATATTATTCTAAGTATACTAAGTATAGCTTTTCTCTGTTATTCCATCCTTTCGACAGCAGCATATGTTCTAGATGCTGATCTGATAAACGTACATTTTCAAGTTTAGAGTAACAAGTCAACCTTGGGGTGGAATAGCTTAAAGTAAATAGTACATGGGTGGAACTGAACTCGATCTTTTTTGTACACAGTGCTATTAACCCACACAGAAAACAGTTCATAGTGTACTTTCTTAAAATAAAAAGTGAACTAAAAGTACAGTACTCAGCATAAATGAGTACACCCCCTCTGAAACTTACTTATGTAGAAGACATATTAGGGTTCTTTGGAAATATAATGTTCCAGAGAGTCTCTCTGATCAATTACTAAAGAAGCATGTCAAAATTATTCAGCAAAATAAGATTTTCGTATCAAAGTGATTTCTTATCAAAATGTTAAACGGATAGTTCACCCAAAAATGAAAATTCTGTAATTAATTACTCACCCTCATGTCGTTTCAAACCCGTAAGACCTTCGTTCATCTTCGGAACACAAATTAAGATATTTTTGATGGAAGCTGAGAGCTGTCTGACCCTGCATTAACAGCAATACAACTTAAATGTTCCCAAGTTAAGAGACGTAGCAAGGAGATCTGTAAAATAATCCATGTGACATCAGGGGTTCAACCGTAATTTTACGAAGCTACGAGAATACTTTTTGTGCGCAAAAGAAAAAAAAAACGACTATTACCTGCTGATACAGAACAGCATACGTTGTTTACATCCAGCTGATACTCTCCAAAATGGCGCTACCGGCTGACGCGGAGGAGACGAATTGTTGAATAAAGTCGTAATTTTTTTGTCTTTTGCACACAAAAAGTATTCTCGTAGCTTCGTAAAATTACAGTTGAACCCCTGATCTCACATGGATTATTTTACCGATCTCCTTGCTACTTTTCTGGACTTGGGAACATTTCAGTTGTATTGCTGTCTATGCAGGGTCAGACAGCTCTCAGCTTCCATCAAAAATATCTTAATTTGTGTTCCGAAGATGAACGAAGGTCTTACGGGTTTGAAACGACATGAGGGTGAGTAATTAATGACAGAATTTTCATTTTTGGGTGAACTATCCCTTTAAGTACACCCTCCTAAAAGTTACAAAATAAAACCAAATAAAAATGTTCTGGTGCAAGTTAAAGGCATTTTTTAAGTAAGAGGAGTAATTTCTTGACACTTAAAAGTGTTACATAGCCAACTAAATCATTCTCAGGCATAATGCTGACAACAATGGAAAAACTTTGGAGAGAGCTATCAGGAGACTTATTCCTTTGCAAAAAGGGGAGAGTGATACAAGAGGAATACCAAATCATGGTTATAAAAGAAATTCAAAACAACGTACTTGTGACAAGGTCCCTGAAATAATCAGGCCTTTACTTTAAGCTTTACATGATGAGTGTTTTTTGCTAGAAGAAGAACAGGAGAAATACCAAGCAAATGTCTAATAAAACTGTAATAAAGAGTACACAGTATGACAACACAGTAAGATGCAACATGCAGAAGTTAAATGCATTGTTGTTTATCCATACCAGAACTACCTACTTTAGCCAAAGCAAAATAAACTCACTTAGCCTTTTCAAAGGCCTGTGGGAAACAATACTCATGAGACCAAGTCAATATAATAACAATTACTTAAAGCGATTTAAAATCTTCATAATAACACAAACAAGGTTTAAAGTTTAAGTCTGAAATAGCAAGTTAGTGTGATCCAATAATCTGCATATATATGAGATACAGCAACCCAAAAACATCTTATTAATTCCCCTGAGTAAACTACTTTTAGAGTTTGGTAAATGTGTCATGTTAAATTCTGAGGACAGTACATAGCTAAAAGACTGAAAGTACAATTAGTTGAAGTAGGACTTAGTAGTGACCAACATGCTATTACAAACTAAATATTACAAATAATCATTAGATATCTGGGAGAAAAGTTAACAGGTGCTATAAGTGTCCATGTGTAAATGTGACTCTGTTAGATGTTTGGTAGAACAACCCACCTTTGTAGTAGAAGAGGCAATAATCAGCTAGAACAAACCATTTTCTCTTCCACAGCCGCATCCCTGAGCTGTCCTGAAAGTACAAAGCAACACAAACACTGATGGCAAAACACACACCCTCAGGCAGCTGAAGACATCTGATGGGGAAAGACAGCACTTCAAACAGACTTCAAACAGGCAATTCGCAGCACTTCCCCCTGACAGCACCGTTTCACTTCCAGTTAAAAAGTTTTTTCAAAGTCTATTATCAAAAACTATCCATGTAAATACACTCCTGATGTTTTCACGCCATGAAAGACCCATGTGTGTGTGTGTGTGTTTGTGACTGGATAACTGACTGGCTGGCTCTCAAAAAGAAAAGTCAAATGAGCTGCCTACCTACAGCTTTTATGATGAGTTTGAATGCTCAAAATATGCATTTCAACTATTCAAAAGTGCCTGCAATTCCCAAAAATGCTGTGGTTGATGTTTAGGAAGACACATTTCCCTCAATATTCAGATCTGTGGTCAAACAAAATGGTTTCAAACTTCATAAACTTGAAGTTTTGGTCTTTTTGGTCCTGCCAAATTGAATGATTTGGTCTAGAATAAGGCTAAAATTCTCAACTAGAATGTCCATAAATGTCCCTAAAGAACCTCCAGGATATCCGAGGACAAGATATAAAACTTTTTTTTCTAATTTCTAACTATAACCTTCTAACTGATGCATTATGTAATATTCTAATATTAGTTCAGAGCAGAGTAGGCTTATGGAAGGGAGGGATTTGCTCCGAACTTGCTTGGAACGAACCGTTTAGAAATCATTGGCAAATTACTCTAATATTAAATGTATATTCTGAGAAAATCCTTCTTGATTTAAGAATTTTTAGATATTTTGGCTGGAAACAAGACAAAAAATCTAAGAAAAGCATTTTTTGCAGTGTAAAGGCTGAAAACCTGTCATGTAAAGTAGGGCTGAAACGATTCCTCGAGTAAGTCGAGTTACTCCATTACAAAATATCATCGAGGCAAATTATTTGCCCCAAGGCTTCGTTTAGTCCATTTACTGTAACTACTTATCACACGAAGAGTGCCAGTTTTCACCTCTAAAAATCAGCATGATTACAAATGTGATACTGATTTTATGCAACAGTTCAATAAACAAGAAGTTAATATTAAGAAACTTACGTTTTAGACACCATTGCCTGTAGTGCTCAATTTCGCCAACAAAAAAATTATTCCAAACACAACCACAGCACTGTTTTGCGTCTCTGAGCAACATGACAGTGTTTTGTTCCTGAATGAATCAACCGTTTAAATGATTCGATTCAATCGCAATTAATCAATATTAACAGTGACTTGCTGCCACCTACTGGCGGTTTTAATTTCACATTTAAAGGCACAATATGTAAGATTTTCGTAATAAAATATCCAAAAACTTCTTGCACAGTGTGATATATTTCATGCAGTTGTGTATTTATGTTATCCCAAAAGTTCCCAAGGATTTGTAAATCCAGAGAATTCCAATTTAAAATAATGACTCGCCCCTGGTCATTGTCGCCTATCAATGCTTATTGAATGCGATATCCGCATATCCTCAGTTTCCGCTTGTAGAAACTATAGCAACACACGGACACAAATGCTGCACAGATAAACTAAATCCATTACAGCTGTCGCAAATTAAACGAAAATGAAATGAAAAGTGTTGACCGCAGCATTAAATTTAGATCTGCTCAATGTTGCACCATGATTTTTTTTTACGCGTTTTTACAGTGTTGTGCATTATAACCAATCACACACGAGTCCGTTGAGCTTATGAATGCAATGGCCAATCAGAGGCGTTCAGATGAGTTTTTTTGTCCACTGCACGCACTCGCTTGTTGTAATGTTTACCTTTTTAAAGTAATGTGAAATAGATTTTTGTATTTTTATTTCTTTATTTTATTTTTATTTTTTTATTGATATATTTGTATTAGCATTTTAAATGTAATTTGGAAATTAAATGCATTAAATGGGTTTAGTTTTCACGGTTATTAATGCTTGCTATTTCAGCAATAAAAATGTTCATTTTTCTAAAAAGGAAACAAATTATTTTAAGAGACCTATCTTATTTTCTCTTGTATATCTAGCATTGCTCTTTAATAAAGAAAAATGACTTCTTATCCGATTACTCGATTAATCGATTGAATAATCGGTAGAATACTCGATTGCTAAAATAATCGATAGCTGCAGCCCTAATGTAAAGTATAAATTGAAAGTAGAAATCGACCGATTGATCGGCCGGCCGATTAATTGGCCGATTTTTGGCATTTTTTTAATAAATCGTCATCGGCTGATTGTGCTACAAATTAGGCCGATTTATAGGCAGGTACATCTGCGGGCAGCTAAGCATTGTTGTGGAACGCCGGAGAATCTCTTTCTGGCTGCGTGAGAGACGGAGCAACTCACACAACTCACAACTCACACAAACAGACCATTTCGAAAGCGTAATTACGTTTTACCTTACTAGAATTGATGCCGGAAAGTTATCATATTCATAAGTGCAACAAGTCATTTGCATGTGAAAGTAGAAACACATGCAATTCAGACGAAACTTCTGGGCTGATTATAACATGCACGTTAACTTTCCTCGTGAAATGTGTGTGTAGGTCCGACAATAGCATCCACGATGTCATCGCTTGTGGCCAGTGCACTCTGAGCAGTTATGAGCAGCGGGCTGTGTAATATGTGTGAACTCTTTTATTTTTGTTATCACTTGACCATTTGACTTATAGCAGTGTCCAATGTTTCCCATACATTGAGTTAATAGATTTTCCAAAAGGCTTATACTTTGTTGAATAAACTGAGCACTGCGCGTTTCAAAATTAAAATGCAGCGCGGGTGTTTTTATATGAATGTATATTGATAAGAACCGACCGTCTTGAGAAAAGCTTTGATGTCATTTTAATTTCGTCTTTCCTGTAATGCCTGATAAAGTAGCGTTTGTGAGGAAAACCCGCTCCAACAGCGCATTGAATTTGCATTTGCAAGTCTGTGGGAAACACTGGTGTCTGTCAGCAAACATAAACAAAACCATGCTTCAGAACTGTTTTGAGAAGGTGCTTAAGTTTTGAGCCATGTATTATTACTCTGAATTAGGCTACTACTACTAATTCTATATTGTACCCTGCAATAATCATTTACTGAAACTCACTTTTATGAGATGAAAAAAAAAAAATCGGCCAAAATATCGGCAAAAAAAAAAAAATCGGCATCATATATCGACCATCGGCTGCCCTGATTTCTAAATATCGGCATCGGCCAGTGAAAAACCCATATCGGTCGACCTCTAATTGAAAGCAAATGTTTGGTTAATCAATAAACAAGCATTGGCCAAATTCTCTTACCTGTTTGTAGAGCCATCCACGTACCACTACAGGAACACTGGGATTCCGTTTTATGGCATGATCCCGTTTGCCAAAGCTATGAACCCTTCCACTGGACTTGGATCCCTATATCACACACCAACACACACACACACATAAACTGAAGATGACCAGGGGGATTGAAAGCTCATTCATCAACTATTAGTCTGGACCATCTGCCAGGGGTGCACAGCTGATCTTACACACCATCCGCTGGCATTCTGTGGGCAAAGCAACATAAGCCTACATGCAGCCTACCACTCACACATGCCAGAGCACTCATACGACTAATACATCACCACTGCATGCCATCGCTGCCAACGACAAGAGCTACAAGCACTCATTCATCTAGAATAGTCCAAACGCAGGCAGGAGATGAGATGACACAGGCAGCGTTCCAGCTGCTGCATTCCTCCGTGTCTCTTAAATCAAACTATGGCAGTTGGTCGTCACAACATTTCAGTTACTTTTGCACATGCATTCTGAGAGGTAACATAATGATATGATTATAGTATTATCAAAGCCCCCGTTATGAAACGATAAGCTAGCTATCATATCATACAGCTGCTGTTTTTGTACAGCAAAGGTCTTATTTTTTAGATCAATGTCAATAATCCATGTTAAATATCGGTGAGGGATACAAGATTTACAAATGGATTCAAATATCTTCAAATTTTAGTTTTTAAGGAATAACGGAATTAAAATTCTGTAATTATTCAGTCCCTCTCAGGCTCTTTCTATACAACTATAGTTCACAGTGACCAAGTCTGTAATGCTCCAAAAAGAAAAACAAAATACATATCCTAAAAAGTATCATAAAGATGGTCCATGTTTTGTATGAGGAACAAGCTAAAATCAAAGTCATTATTCACTTTAATATTCATTTCCATTTATTCTTGTGTATATGTTGCATTTGCAGACAGAATTTTACAAAAATACTCTTTTTTTTCAGAGCTTGAGAGATGTCACTATGAAGAGTCGTGTAAATATTCTTCAAAAACGTCTACTTAGTTTCCACTAAAAAATACCCATTGTGAAAAAACCCTTGTGTGTTTACTTGCACTGAATGTGCACTTGTAGTGTAGTTTAAATTTTGAAAGTATATTTTAAAAAAAACTGTATTTGCAGATAATATACCCTAGTAAAAAAGTAATATATTTAAAATACATTGATTTCATACTAAGTATAGTTAAAATCTATTCACATATTTACTGACAGATAACTAATATTAACTTTTCTTAATAGTAAGTCTAAAATGTGTTTTAATGTCACTTTTGATGAGGATTGTATGATCTTTGAATAATATCGGACTTTAAATGCAAAATATTTAAAGTGTACCTGAAGTTCCACTTTAGCACAATAAAATATACTAAGTATATCTTTAAGTGTACATCAGCACTACTTCTGCACAATTAAAGTGCATTAAGTACAAAATTAGTTGTTCCAATTTAGCAGTATACCAGTTAAGTATGCCAGTTTAGTATACTAAAAGTACAATTGCAGGACATTTTATTAAGTACATAAATATGAAAATGTATTTGTAGTATACTTAGCATGAAATAAATGTATTTCAAATACAAAGGCCACTTAAATGTACCCTAAAAAAGTACACGTTCACAGCTGTTTCCCTAACACACTTCAGTACATTTTTAAAAAGTGTACTTTGTAATAGTCAAATTAAGCTTTATTTTAAAGTACATTTTAAATCATTTTGTCAAGTTAATATATTTTAAACTCACTAAAATGCAACTTCATCATTACAAATGTGTACTTATGATATATTTAACTACATGACATACGAGTGCCAATAAAAACTGCATTAAAGTACATTTAAGTTATAAAAAAATGTCAGTACATTCGGCAGTACACTTCATTGACAACAGAAGTAATTATGAAATTACATAAAGATGTACTGAAGTCCTATTTAAGTGGGTCAAAAAAGTTCAGCTAACCGCATTTAATAGAAATATAAACTATAATACATTTTCATTTAATTGTAAATAAAATGCAATTAAGTGTCTGAAAATATTATATTCAGTTTGCACTTGAGTATTTTATTTTAAAGTCAATTATTTCCATAATAAGCACTCTTTTTTAAAAGTATGCTAAAGTGTACTTCTTTTACACAATATTGGAACTGTCCTAAAAATGATGAAATTGTACTTATTGGGTGGATCATTCTTTTAAATATCTGGGAAAAAAGCATGTTATTCAGCTCATGTGCATCCCAAACAATGCATCCTTACACAGATATGCACCAAATCACTCACAATCCGAATCAAAAGCCGTTTCATTGGTCTTCTGTGTCTGCACAGAGATGGCAGTCAAGGGCTCTGATCACTCCGTGTTTGTCACCAGCACTTGGGAATTGACGCATCAGCACAGAAGAATAAACACTCTAATTACCAGGACAGATGCTAACCAAGCATAGAGAATGTTCTGCATCAGGAGTCTTGTCAAGCTAACTTGCTCGTCTCATTCTATATAGTGTCTTCTACTTCTATCTCTATAAAATACCAGTTTTATTTTCTTACCATTTGACTAGTTTTGTTGTCCAACAGGATCAGGTTGTTACTGACCTTTGAGCCTGAAGTGGTGTCCAGAGTTGAAGAAGTGACGGCAGTCGAGGCCTCACTAATGGTGCTGGAGGGCCGTGTGGTCGACTGTGGCTGCTGCTTCAGCATGTGTCGGCCAGTCCTGCAGAGGAGAACACGGTAATGGCTCTGTTATGCTGCTAAATGGCTTTACATTTAACACATTTCATTAAGGCTGCACAATTTAAATCAGAATAAAACTGAAATCCTGATATTGCTTAGTGCAAAGGCTGCAATTGAATTAAATATTTTTGCTGCATGTTTCAGAATGAAGCGCAGCACTGGGTCCTTTTATACGCAAGCAGCTTATGATTAATTGTTTTCAGTGTCTCAGAGCAGTAACTGTTGTTCCACATGGACAAATATCTCCATCTGCTCTGAGTTTGGAACGCTCCAACCATCTTCACAAACTGGCAAGAAAAAGTGCTTATAAAGAGGTTGTTGTCAACAATGAATAAGCTTTATTTTATTCAAATAAAACCTTGGTTTTAGTTTACTATGTAGAGTGTAATTTTATTTATTTTTAAAAATCATTTCATAATTCAGCATTCATTAAAAAAAAACATAAATACCCATTTATTATCATTATTTATGCAATTTTGAACCTAAATATTTCTTTCTAAAGCTACTTTTAATCTGATTTATCTCATGTTCTCATTTAACACCATAATGATTTTAAATTATCTTTTAGGGGTAATTTCTTACCCAAAATTGAGATTAACTAATTGCCACATCTTGTAATTAATTAGATTAAACATTTGAATCGCTTGACAGACCTAATTGATATATAATTGAAAAACAAATTGAATTTTTTGAAGTTGTGCAGCAGTACAAACCGCACACAGCAAACCTGAAAAAAAACATGGTTACTACTAATGAGGCAAAAAAAACAAAAAACAGACAAAACCACTTCTCAGCACAATCAAGGCCATATAACACAGTTTTGCCATGTCTGCCTTAGTATAATAGCCCATACTCCCCATAATTACTCATACCATACTATTACTGCATTATAATAGCAATGGCTAGAATTTCAGGTTGTTTTCCAGAATTTCACATCAGTGTAAAAGTGAAATCCTCTTCCTATGTGATCAGAAGTCTTAGTCATAGTGCTAGTATAGTTGAGTGCTAGCATATGATAAAGTTGAGTCTGTGGCAAAACATGACATTTAAAGACTGACTGGAGCTCTGCATGGTGACATTCATGACAAAAAGTATGTTTCATTCCTCTCAGGAATTTGACATGTATTCCTATACAGACTGTAACCATATTTTCCACCAAACCATCACAGATATTGTTACTACATTAAAACTGGGGTAACTTAGCCAGGGTTTGCCCCCCCTCCCCCCTCGAACTCGAAGACATCTCTAATTTGACAGTTTACCATCTGATCTCACTCAGTGACTCTAGGCTACTTAGGACGGGACGAAACCATGCAGTGAATGGGGGGAGATAATATTGCCGGAAATGCAGAAATAAGCTGTAATTTTGTTTTATTTGTAACTCTTTGGTAGATACATTTATCATTTCTATTACATTACTACTACTACTGTTACTACTAATAAAACAGATCTCTGGGGGAATTTTCAATTATGTGTCAACTATCCCTTTAAGTCTGCTATACAAAGTGCTATTAGTGTGTAGCTGCCAATGCAGAACACTCCAAATTAGTCACTTATGAGGTTCCATGACTGTTAGAAATCAGCTGACTATGTAGGCAGTAGGAGTTATAATTTATGTAAAGCTATTGGCTATAGACGGTATATGAAAACAAGCTCCTACCAAAAGTGACAACCAGTCACATAGCATTCTAATGCAGTACTGCTCTGCTCATTACTAATTCACAGTAGAGATTCATAGTACCTGTTTTTAATATCACAGGCTCACTTCAAAAACCTTTTAGTAAATTACAGTTGCTGTGATGTGTCAAGTATAATTCCCAATGATTAGGCAGAGAATGAACTTTCCCTTAAGTGCTCACTGACCTGGATGACAAATGAACTCCCTCAGGCAGTCAACAGGTTGTATAACTTACGCAAACTGACAAACACCTTTTAAAACATATTTGTGATCAATATCGCATTAATATTCTCCTTTTTGTCAAATTAGTTAATCAAATCATTGGTTTAAACCGACCTCAAAAAGAAAGGACACATATGGCATTGCTTGGCAGAGTCCATCTTCAATACCTTTCAAAGTTTTGAGTAAAACTTCTGCATCTTAATAGTAAGGAATACACTACCATTAAAAGTTTGAGAAAGGTAAAAAAAATAAAAAAAATAAAAGAAGACCAGCTTACCAAGGCTGCATTTATTTAATCAAAATCCAGTAACAACTGTAATATTGTGAAATAGTATTATAATTTAAAATAACTGTTTTCTATTTGAATATATATTAAAATGTAATTAATTCCTGTGTTGGTAAAGCTACATTTTCAGTAGTCATTACTCCAGTCTTCAGTGTCACATGATCCTTCAGAAATCATTCTCATGTGCTGATTTGGTGCTCAAACATTTCTTATTATAATCAATGTTGAAAACAGTTGTGCTGCTTAATATTTTGTGGAAACCATGATAACCTTTTTCAGGATTCTTTGATAAATAGAAAGTTCAAAAGCTCAGCATTTATTTGAAAAAGAAATTTTCTTATGCCTTTTCTGACACTTTTTAATGCATCCTTGCTGAATAAAATATACATTTCTTTCAAAAAAAAAATTCCAACTATCAAAACTAAGAAAGAAACTACGTCAGACACACAGACTGCAAACTAGGACAGAACCACTTAGTAGTGTATGATCCTCAGTCATTTAGTGTGCAATGCCCATTTTTTTCTGCTGTAACTGTTTACAAAATCAAAAAGTGCATGATGCCTAGTGTTTTAAAATCTGTTCAGATTTTAAAAGTGGTGTAGTGTATTCCAGCTTTTAGTCAGCATGTTAAATCGGTTCTCTCTTCCTATCCTTTATCACAAAAGCACCGCCTGACTAAAAACTATACACACATTGCAGCTTTTTCTGAGTGTTTATAGATAAAATGTCTCATCTACTGATTCCAGCTGACATAATTACAAAGGAAACTGTTTACAAGGACCACAACATTAAGTAATTACAATCTACTGCCAGCACAACAATAAAGGTTGTGCTTTCATTACACTCTGACCTTATGTCAAATAATAAGAACAGTGCGACATATACTATTTCTGTCCTCTTCAAACTATTCTTATACTATACTCTGTAAACTTCACTACCATAAAATGCCATTATATTCTAGTTATAACCAACCATAACTCAAACCATTAACATAAACCTTTATAGCATATGTCTGTTTTTAATTTTAATCAGATTCTCCTTATATAAGAGGTAGAGTCAGCAGGGAGATGGTTGAGGAAACCTCACAGCACGACTCTCACACTTAGATTCTTAGAACAGATGGCCAGATATACAAAGAGCCAACATACAAAAGAAACAGAAAAAACAGACTGTCCTTCTAGATATGCACATTTGACGAATCTGTGGGCTTTGGGCACGCAAACCTCTCTAGCACCTTTTATTCAGTGGCTCTTAGTAACGGTGTGGAAAGAATCAGCATGGTATAGCAGCATGGCGCAGCACTGACATGAAGGGATCAATATTTCTAAAAGCATTGCTTTTGAAGTTTAGAAATCTTTTAGATATGAAAATATTGATTGTTAAAGCTAGCCTAAAATGAGCCTGATCTCATGACAAAAACGTACCTGTGGGAACGTTTTTGCAAGACGTGAAATACGTAGCGCCATGTACCTTTCGTGACATATTCGATGTGAAATGTCCTCTGAGTGGCGCTAAAAGAGTGTTTGGATTTTCCCCAGGAACAGATGAACGTTCATATGGTACGTTTTATGTGACATTGGTTTTGTACATGTCACCGCAGTTCTGAATTGAAATGTCCGTTGAGTGGCACTATAACTCTAATGCTCCGTGACGTTTTAAAATAACGTACCATCTGCACTACTCCTAAACCTACCCGATAGTACAAACAAAAGCGAACGTGGCGTAAAAACGCAATCGCAAGTCTGCCGTTTTAGCTTGTTTTCAAAGTCTCATCTTTCAGCTCTTACATCGTGAGTAATGTTTTTCATGGGACACACATCCTAAGTCCAATTCCGGGCCGGCTGAGCTATCGAGCAAGCTTGTTATGTCCAGAAGGCGAAATATATGGAGCTGTAATCATAACGGTGCACTAAAACGATTAAAAGTGCTCACTGTTTGACCGTCTCTAGTGTTCATTTCTGTTGGAAACTGCAGTGATATGTACTTATTCGTACATATTTCACGTTTTGCGAAAAAGTTCCCACAGGTACGTTTTTGTCATGAGATCAGGTTGCCTAAAATATAACTGATACAATCTAACTGTGACTGTCTCTGGAAGTTATGTTATTTTTTAATTAAAACTAAAACTATTAATTGTTTTCTGTAATTGAAATAAAGCTGATGTAAAATAAATATCAATATTAGATTAAAAAAATTACAATTTGAAATGTTGAATTGCCTGAAATAAATAAGAATTAATACAATTGCCTCAGCAGCTAACTGAAACAAGTAAGTTTAAGCACTAAAATAATCAAAACTGAAATAAAAATATATTAAAGCTAACTGGAAATAAAAAAATAAAAAAATAAAAATGACAAAAGCGCATAATAAAATTACTAAAACGTACACTAATAAAATAAAAATGGAAAACATAAAAATAAATGCTAATTAAAAATATTAACTAATACAATAATAGTACATAACACCAAAATAAAACTGGGATATTCTGATGCTTAGATATGTCAAGGGCCTCTGGGGCCCCATTCCGGGCCTGTGTACCGTCCCAAGCCAAATGAGCCCTCTCCATGTCTCTATGATATATTAGATATGGCTGGGGTCACCAGAGTCTGAACAGTCTGTCAATATAAGATGTTACTGCATGTTTTCTACCAGAAAACTGTATTATTGCTCAGAAGAGTAATAGCATTCTATATGTTTGTAGTAAAAATACTGCAAAATGAGTTCTGTCTCCCAAGTCTTTTCACCAAAAAGTTAAACCAAAGTTTTAAAACTGATTCAGAATTATACTTAAATA